GCCCTGTCCTCCCCGTCCCCATGGACATCATACGCCTTCCTTTCCCCCCCCCGTCCGTCCCCCAACATGACAAAACTCTCCAGCACATCTGGTTGGTAGGCCTTGTTTCTTCGTAAAGTATCCGGGTGTGTGGAAGTGTCTGCCATGATGTATATGTCCTCCACATGAGGGAAGTGGAACGGCCAGAGGGGGAGCAGGTCTTCAGGAGTGAGAGTGGGATGGAACGGGATGGCGATCCGGCGGAAGGGGAGGAGGGGGGGGAGGAGAGTGGGGAGGGGGATAGTAGGGGGAAGGGAAGATAGGATAAAGGGGAGGTTGGTTAGTAGGAGGATTGTGGTTGATGGGGGGAGGTTGAGGGTTGTTTGGGAATTACCAGGGAGTAAAATTGGGAGGGGGGAGAGATTGGGTGATGGTTGGGCGGTCGGTATTCGACTTAGGGAAAGGGTTGAAGGTAGGGAGAGGGAGAGGGTGGGATTGGAGGTGGGGGAGGAGGGCGAGGTTAGGGTGACGGTTAGGGGGTAGATTTGGGTTGTTTTTTCTCGGGCGTCCATGGTTTGTGTGCTGTTTGGCTGGCTGGTGATGCTGTTTTGGCTGCTTGGTGATGCTGCTTGGATAGGCGGTCATTGATTCTTCTGTAGCCTATGTTGCGGTATCCAGCTGCTGTGACGGTCATTTGGCGGTGGAAAAAACATTGCAACCATCGTGATTGCCAAAAGTGTAGAGTTTGGGAACTTAGCAGATACAAAGAAGGGGAAGCAGACAAAGAGCCATAGCCTACCTGTTGAACACTTCACTGTTTTGAGCTTTTCGAATCAAGGAGCTCCGCTAAGAATTCCGCAATCAGGGCTTTCTTTGTGTTGGGTTGAACTCTGATAATTGCATGCCCCATTATGAGGTATCGACACTGAGTCTTTGATGAGGATAGACATGGCGCCGAATGAACATTGTCCAATCGCGATGGGAGGAACTGCAGATTTGACAGTGCGATCGAAGAGGGTGATCCTCAAGTAAAACAGCCGAGGTAGACTAGAAACTGCCAGAGTATGTGATTAACGCTTTTTACAACAAAAAATTCGTCAGTTGTGAAGATTAACTTGCGGAACAAAATGATTATCTGCTCGTGCTTGATCACAGTATGTCCACAAATTCAAGGGGATCGCATCTCCATGAGAAATGCTCATGAGAAAACAACAAAGCACCCCCTGATACCTTACATCCTGAAGCCACCATACAAAGAGACCAAGTCAATAAACATTCTGGATGTCTCCTGCTGGACGCCTGACTCTTATCACTCGCAGCAGCTTACCAGGGACAATGCTCTCTCACCCAGGCTTCTCACACCTCACCACGTCACAGTAAATCCCATCTTGAAAGAGGTCTCTCATTCACTAGATAATGATAATTTAACCATTTAACCCAACAAATAATCATCCAGTCTCCTTTTAAAGCCCAAAGGTATATTATATAACCCTCCGATGAATGATATCAAAAACAATACGAAATGCTCCCCAAAACCTCTAGATAACAGCCGGCGAGCTGAGCGTCAACGTCCTCGCGGACCCGCTCAGAGTGGTCCAGTAGATAGGCGGCTCGCTCCCCACAGCATCAACCGTCGTCCCCGACCCGGTAGCACCACCCCTCACGGTCACCGGCACGGGGACGCTGCAGCTGTTCCCGTTGGCCGTGACAGTGACAGAGGTGATGGTGTTGCCGTTGGCGGCGTAGTTGTAGCGCAGCTTGGGGGCGCAGTTGCTATTTTGATGATGACGGTCAGCATTTAATCTTAAAACTTGGGGTGACACAGAAACTTACTCCAGAGTCTGGCGATCGACAAACAGCTTGCCAATGTCGTCGTGCTTCTTGGTAACAATCGGCCAGTTGGTCAACCGCGTCATCTCCTGCGCGATCACCTCGACCCAGATCTGCAGGAGAGAGAGGTTGCCGGTGACGGGGCCGACCGTGTACGAGTCCACGTCGCCGGTGCGCATGTTGGCCTGGTGGAACATGAAGGGGTCGTGGTGGAGGCCGAGGAGGTAACGGGTGTTGACGGCGCGGGCGTCGTTGATGAGGTTGGCAAAGGTACCGCTGCCGCCCGAGGTGTCTATCCACTCCTGCGTGGTGCAAAAGGCCGTGTCGCAATTATAATAGATGGTGGTGGCCCAGCGTGGGATGATGGTCAGGCCGGCGTAGCCGTTGTCGGCGACGTTGGAGATGCGAGGCCAGAACGAGTTGGACGGGTGGCGGAGGGGGGGCCGGGTGTTGTCGCCGACGACGTAGCGGATGCCGTTGTCCCACCAGGCGCGGATGACATCGCCGTTGTGGAGGCCGGTGATGGCAGGAGGAACAAGGCCGGCTTGGGAGACCTTGCTGGCTGTCCAGAGGCCGAGCTGCTGGAGCCAGGCCTTGTTGAACTTGATCTCCTTGTCGGCGTCGGAGTAGGTGGCGTTGTTGAGCTCCAGGTGAGTGAAGGTGTGGGACAGGTGGGCAAAGGTGTTGGGGTTGGTGTTGAACCAGGTGGCGAGGGGATCCAGCTTGGCACAGGTCAAGGACCACGGGTAGGTCGTCCAGCTGCTGGGCCAGACATTGGTTCCGGTGCCGAGGGGCTTCTGGAACTCGAGAGGAGTATCGGGTGGTGTATCGTACCACACGGGCTCGTTGGGATTGCACGTGGTGGTTCCGCCGGGCTGAGTGATGGCGTTCTCGATGTCACCGTTGCCATTGTGAGCAATCTCGACAAAGTAGTTGGACCCGGCAGGAAGACGGGAGTTGAGGTTGGTTTGCCAGGTAGCATGCTGGACCATGTCGCTCACGCGAGCACGGAACTCGGTGTTGACTGGGCGGTACAAGCCCGTGGCCAAGTGCATGTCATCCACCTGCGTGCTTAGATAGATCTTGCGCTTTCCGAGGACTGAAGCATGACCGAGTCAGCATTTTCGGGCAGGTATCGACAAGAAAACGAAAGAGCACTTACAGACACCGCGGGTCAACCAGTGGATGTAGGCGTGCTGCAGGAAGTTGGGACCCTGGGCCCAGTCGGTAGCCCACGACATGAACCAGACCATCTGCTTCCGACGTCCATAGTCGTTGATGATGGCAGCAGTCGTGGTGGTGGTGAAGGTGCCATCCGAAGAAGGAGCAAAAGTAGCCACCTGTTTGGCAAGAGTAGAGTTGATGATGGTGGCTGGGTAGTGCCAGAGACCTTGTGTGCTCACACCAGCACCGCTGCGTGCATGGTTAGCCGGGCTGTGCTTCGTGATATCTCAAGGTTGGCAGGCACTCACGTCTTGATGTTGGCCGTGGGGAAATCAGTGGTCGAGCTGATGCTGACAAGCTGCTCGACGCCCGTGTTGCAGCACCCAGCATTCGGGACGGCAAGAGTGACACCAAGATCGGTGCTGGGGAACACATCGAGACGCACCATGCGAGCTCCGAAGGTGGTCTGGTAGTTGTAGATGGTCTGCCATTGGGCGGGGGTGACGGCGCTGCCCCAGCCACCGGGAAGGTTATAGGCCAGCTCGCTGAGCACAATGAAGCCACCGTAGTTGCCGGACTCTGCTGAGGAGTTGAGCGGAGGCAGAGCGGCACCGGACTGAGGTACAAGGAGGACCTCGTATGGGATGCCGTAGCCCTGGAGGCCAGAGGTGGCCGAGGTGGCGGAAGCGGCATCACGGGCCAGGACTAAGATGGTATTGGAGGTGGAGAGGGCAGCCTTCACACAGGCACCTTGACCTAGCGCCAAGATGCCTCCGAGAACTGCTGCAGCCCTACGGAAGATCATGATGGGGAGAGCGGGAAAGGAGCGAACAAGGAGCGAACGTCTGAAGGGCGACTGACTGGCCCAAACAATGACCGATACCGTGAGGCAAGGCAAACTCCCTGACCTGCCGGGTAACAAGGTGCGACAGGAACGAGTGTCGTTGGTGCTTGATGGTGGTTCCGAACAGGTTGGGTTGGATCTCGAATAAGTACTGGCGGCCAGCTTCGACAGAGACTACGCCCCTCTTTCTCAGCCTCTCGCTCGGATTGTGAGAAGTGAGCAAAGCTAGCGAACGTGGATGATCTGGATGGGCCCCCTTGCCAGCCACAAGCTGCCAGTATTGGATTTGTTACCCTACACAGTACGGCACTGACAGACCAAAAGGAAATGAGGTGTGGTCCTTGGTGGCCCTTGGTGTTCCGGATGGCTTTCTGGGGGCGACGTCGGCGAGGGCACAAACTATTGGATTTCTTCTTTTCCAACTCCAGTGCCTGAAGGCAAAGACATGTGGGATTCGGCTTGCACGGCGTGGACGCGCCGAGAAGAGGCGCTGACGGTGCTACACCACAGCGGACAACAAGATTACCCTATTTGGACGTTCAGGCCGCAATATCAAGACCGAGAACAAGAAAGAAAAGGAGCTAAGGGGAACACGAAGTGCGTGACATGTGGACGTCTGGTGTGGATCGGACGTTTGAACGTCGACATGGACCCGGGGATCCGACACCGTCGTCGAAGGGTGCCTGCTGGGCCCGGGTGCATGCGAGTGCGATACGTGAGTGGCCGGCCGGTGGAACTTTGCTTTTCCAGCTTCCAACGGACGGCAGTCAGCGACAGCCACGCTAGGCCCTATGGACCATGGATGTATGATGTGGTCATGGGCAGGTGCTGGTGGGTGTCCAGTCGTTCGGAGCCTTGCGTACAGGAATGCGAAGAACCAATATTCCCTCGGAATGGCCCAATGAATGCGTCGGTGACAGCCGCGAATAGAGCCCTAATGCATGGCTGGCCGACTTTGAGCTGGTCTCTTGACTCACCTGAGCCCCCAGCAAGACTTCCATGGTTGGAAGACTGGAAGAAGCCGTCGTCGTCGTCATCATCATCATCTTGACACTTGTTTGATGACTGAACAAGGGAGACGAAAAGAAAACCACGCAAAAAAACTGCAGAATTTGCAGAATAAAAGACATGGACCCATTTCAGCTCATGTAAGCCGTCGGCTATCACTCTAGAATCAGGCACATTCAGGCTCAACAACAGCGCAACAACAGCCGGAAATAGAACCTCGACCCCAAAGAAAAGAAAAGAAAAAGCAAGTGTGGGGAAGAGGGGAAAGAGGGAGGGGACCCTTGACCGTCGAGGTTGCATCGGCCGTCATCTTTGGGCGACTGGGGGGCGTCTGGAGAGATCGGCGTTATGCATCTATCGTGAGATACCTCGACCTCATGGGTGTTCGGAACGGACCTCTAGCTCTTGTGTTCCCCTGTCAGCCCGCCCCTCCCCTGCCCCTCCTCCCCTGTCAACGTGGAATCTTGGCAGCCATCTTTTCCGCTTCGGTGCCGTCGCAGGGCGGCTGGAGGGAGGGGGGGGCAGCCACGAATCCTACCCCACCGGCCATCACAGACACGACTACCACCACCTCAGCGACAGTGGAAGCGATTTTTCTTTCTGTCTGTCGATCTCCTTCTCCTCGGTGACGCCCGCCAGTCGCAGCGCGCAGCGTGGACGAGACCGAGACGTCTCGAAGACGGTCGACCGTCGTCTCCATCACAAACACCATTTCCACCTTGAGCGCGTGGGCGTGGATGTGTCTCTCGGCAGGGCGCAAAGCCGAAACTCGTATCCCGATTCTCGAACGTCTTTTTTTGGCATGTCATCTCTGCCGCCAAACCCGCCTGGAAGTGAGTAGTAGTGAGTCGCTGTCTGTCTCGTCTGGCCGCTGCCCGCTGCCCGCTGCCCGCATTCTGCCATCTCTATCGAGCCTCCATTCCTCTCTGTTTGCCTGCCCCTCTCACACCCGACTCCGAGGGCTGCCAAGATCTTCAATCCGATCATTCCTCCGGCACTTCGCATTGTAATTCTTGCTGTTCCAACGCGCGCCGCAGGCTTTGCTGATTGCCTCGTTTGTTGTCTGCTGTTTTTCCAGGCCAATACCTACCCCTCCAACTCTTTGTCCCTCCTCGTCTCGCCACCGACGCCATCTCCCCTCACCGCTCACACACCAGCAACCCTCTCACCTGTGGCCACCGGCACAACAGAGAATGGAGGGTAAAGAGGGCAGGTTGCGGAGGAATAGTAGGGAATCGAGGCTGTCACGCCGGCAGAAGCTGGTGCTGGCTGCCGTGGCCGCCGTGTTGATCATCGTCCTGATTGTCGGCCTCAGCCTCGGCCTCGGTCTGAGGAACCGGGGCGGCGGCGGCGGAGACGACGATTCACTACCACCGGCTCCTCAACCCACCGCCATCTGGCAGCCCAAGGTCAACACGTCATGGCAGATCATCCTCAACGCGAAGCTCGACATTGACCCCAACAACCCTGCTGTCGAACCCGACGTGGACGTGTACGACATTGACATGTTCATGCACCAAAACTCGCGCGCCGTATCGAGTCTACACAAGCTCAACAAGAAGGTCATCTGCTACTTCAGCGCCGGGTCCTACGAGAAGAACCGTCCTGACTCGTCCAAGTTCCCCGAGGAGGACATCGGCCTTGTCCTGGACGGGTGGCCGGACGAGAGATGGCTCAACATCAGCAGCCCGGCGATCAGGGAGATCATGGTCGGCCGCATCGAAATCGCCAGCAGGATGGGCTGCGACGCTGTCGATCCTGACAATGTCGATGGGTACACCAGAACGAGAACGGGATGGACCTGACACCGGAGGATTCCGTCTCCTTCATGACCTTCCTCGCCGACGAGGCTCACAAGCGCAACATGGCCATCGGCCTCAAGAACGCCGGCGACATTGTCAAAACGATGCTGCCGCGGATGCAGTTTGCCGTCAACGAGGAGTGCGCCGAGTTCAACGACTGCAGGACCTTCTCTCAGTTTGTCGACGCGGGCAAGCCCGTGTTCCACATTGAGTACCCCGAAGGAGCTCCGTTCAACACCAACGCCGAGCAAAAGCAGGCGTACTGCAACGCCCCAGGCGCGAATGGGTTCAGCACCATTCTCAAGGGGATGAACCTCAATTTTGGGGCTGAGTACTGCGATGGAAGGCAGGTGAGGACAAAGGTGCTGCGGCGGTTTTCCTCTGGCCGATAATTACGATTGGGTTGAAGATCATCATCTCTCTTTGCTTTCTTGTTTTACTTTGCCTCACACACACACACACACATACACACACACCAGAGCCACGCACACCATCATCATCCCTGGGGTGCCGCGTCCCTCCTCCCCGCTTTTTGCATCATTTCACATCATGTCTCCACCTTGGCTTTTTTTGTGGTGCGGACATTTTTTTATTTTCTTTTGTTTTCTTAGATCAAAAGAGCTGCAATAGACCATTTCTCCCCACCACTACACACCACCACACACCACCTCCTCTATTTTTTCCCCACCTTATCATTTACCCCGACTCCAACTCCCGCACGCGAATACAACCTCACCTCTCTCCACCTTATCTCACCAAATTAATATAAACTTTTATTTTTTGATTTATTTATTTATTTGTCTTCCCCATCAAAATGGGCACCAAAATGACCAAATTCTCTTCCCCCTCCCAAAACAACAACAAAGCCCTCATCCTCCTCCCCCTCTACATCTACCCCTCCCCCGACGCCTGGACCCCCCTGCTGCTCGCCGCAAACCGGCACCCCACCCTCCAGTTCCTCGTCGTCGTCAACCCGTCTAATGGCCCCGGGGAGGGCGACAGGCCGGACGAGAACTACGTCCGGGTGCTTCAACAACTGAGGGATGTGGAAAATGTAAAGTTGGTGGGGTATGTCTACTGCAGCTATGGGAAGAGGGAGCAGGGAGAGATGAGGAGGGATGTAGAGAGGTATAAAGTTTGGGGGTGTGAGAAGAGGGGTTGCGTAAGTCCACAAACAAACCAAAAAAAAACACAGTGCGGGGGGTGGTACACACTGGCTAATGATAATGAAAATAGGGCGTGGATATCAAGGGGATTTTCTTTGACGAGGCGCCTGCTGACGGGGGCCATGTGGGGTATATGGCTGAGGCCGCGGGGGAGGTGAGGAGTGCGCTTGGGGAAGAGGCGGTGGTGGTGTATAACCCGGGGGTTTTTCCTGATCAGGGGTATTGGGAAAAGGGGGATTACGTGGTTGTTTTTGAGAATGTAGCCAGGGAGTGGTGGGGGGGTTATGTGAGGGAGAATGTGAAGAAGTTACCAAAAGAGTTGAGGGAGAGGAGTGTGGTTATTGCGCATAGTTGTCAGGGAGACGAAAAAGAGAGGATATTGGCGGATGTGAGGAGGGAGCGGTGGGGGGCGCACTTTTTGACGGGGGAGGGGGGTATTATAGTTGGGATGGGGGTTGGGGGGGTTATGTGGGTGAGGCGGATGAGGAGTGGGATGGGGAGGAAGAGGGGGGGTGTTGTTGATGATGGAGAGAGATGGTTAGGTTGGGTTGGGTGGGCGATGATAGACCGGGGGCAGGTGGAATATTCGGCGTCATCTATATTTTAGACAAAGGGGCTAGTTTCGTTTCGCTAATCTGTAGAAACCCCATTTTTTATGTCCATATGGCAACTTTTAGCGACGATTTCCCGCTAGTTCTAGGCTTGAGTCTCATTGTAATGATGGACCACATGGCCCTTGTTATGACGTTTTAGGGCTTGAGTCTATTGTCATGCATCAACCTTTATTGTAAACAAGCGAGAGCTGTAAGGTTCCAGACTTGAACTAACTGCCTGCTTCATTCTATCTTTTTGCTGCAAGGCGAGGCAAACAATAAGCTTTCATGCAGTCATTCGAAACCCTCCATGCATTGTTTTCTGTCGTTCTAGAACCCATCTAAGGTATCCATCATGAAGCATCTATCTAACCGATGGTTGCAAAGCCATATTGGATTCCTGCATCGACGACACACCTAACCCATCTGCAGCAAAGCCTAGACCTTGACGTCTTTTGATAACTGGGGCTTTTTGCTGCAAAGTTACAATCAATCCATTCCTTGCCGCCTCACCACCAGGTAAGGTTCTTTCGCAGAGATTCTAGACCTTGCACGGCCATCAATCGCGATTGGGCGCCACGTTTTTCTCAGGAGATGCTACGATTGGTGATGGGGGAAGTGTACTGCCACTTTTGACTTCAGCTGGTGTGTGTTGGTGAGGGATTATTGAGATCTAGAATTCCTCACTGCTGGGCAAGCAAAAAAAAAAAAAAAAAAAAAGAAAAGTTTTCATGATGAGGGCTTGGAGACGAAGTTTACCTGGTCCATCCAAGCTGGGGCCGTGCACTTCGGTGTTGGTGATGATGGCTTGTAGCTCAACCCCCCGGTATGTTCTTTGTTTTGTGATACTGTGATGCAAAGTTTGTATTCCACCACATGGTTTCGAATTGCGTGTTCCCTTTACGGTGTTAGTCTGGTGGTGTGGTTGAACAAGGACGAAAACACACACACAGCACACGCGCCCCGCGCACAAACTCGATGCGGCGGGGATGGAAGTGGACAAGAACCTGTTTCTCGGGACGGGATTGTGGTGTCTGTGTTTGTGTTTTTGGTTACTATTGGTTGTGAATCTTGCTAGTAGGTAGCTAGGTAGGTAGAAAGGGTTCTGTTTTGGAACACTCCAGAGGATTGATGACCACCAAGTTCACCGCCGTCATCTTTGCACACGCAAACATAAGGCTCGAACGCAATGAGGTCATCTTCAAGATGGTGGTGCCATGGCTCATGCGTGTGATGGGTAAATAGTCCGATCCCAGGGAATGTGTTGTCACCTTTCTCTCCCGATACAGGTAAAGCAGCTGAGAGCACTTCGGCAACCAAGCCTCTATTGATCTTCTCCGTACATGTCTTTTGTGTCTGGTGACCGGATAGTTTTGGGAGCTGAGTTGCCTGCTTTCCTCATCACATCTTTCGCAGCTTTGCATCTACAGGTACCTACGTACATCATGTAGCTCTCAGGTCTGTACAATAAAGTATGCATGCATTCTGCAAGAGGGCTGGCTGGGGTGTGGGATGCAATCTACTCTTCGTATTTCACATCTGCTGTGTGTGTGTGTGTATGCGTTGTTCGTTACCGGCCCTTTTTCAGCCAATCCTGTTGTTACGCTGTTGTTACCGGCCTCGACGTTGTGTAATCATGGGCCCCTTTTCGACGTTGATAATGACTGGACGAGGTGAATGGTCTGACCTGAGAGCGAGGGTAAACCGTTTCCGTGAATCACGACAACTGAAGAAAACAAAAAGTGAGATGTGAGAGGTGGGGAACTCTCCCGAAGGATTTTGCTACAAGTGGACAGATCTTGTGTGATGACCAATTTTTTGTTGACGTGGTCAACAGTTGCTCCATAGGGCAAACGTCACCACCACCGATTGGCATCGGGTCCTGGCCTGCCCGGCTGTCGAGATGCCGAGGTTCCCATGAGGTGGTTTCGGGAAACTCGGTGAGGTGGTGATTATGATGGGCGAACAAGCATTCGAGTGGCTTTTTGGTTTACGAGGTGCAATGCATGAGCTGGGGGTAAACCTGCTTTAAACCCAGAAGGCTGAAGTGCTGAGCTTCAATAGCGCCATGTGTGTTGGTGAATTTGGAGACATGTCGATCATGAGGTTTATTTTGGGGTAAGGTGTGCGGAGGTGGAGGCCGGCGAGTGGAGGTGAGGTGGTGAGGTTGGATGGCCATCAGATCGCTGTAGTTCCCGTTCCCACGGCCGAATGCGCCCCCCATGTTCGCCTCATTGTTTTTCTCCACAATCTTTGTTCCTGGATAAATGCAAGGGAAATGTGACGGGTCACTTCTGTACCCTGGCTCATTCACACCCCTTTAATTGCAAGAGAGGGGTGCCGCGCGGTTCATCCACGATTTTGCTTTCTGTGGTTGGAGGGTCCGAGGACCAGGGGGAGAGGAAGCGACAGGACAGGGGACAGGGGACAGGGGGCAAGGGGAGCTTCAGGGGGGGTTGGATATTCGGGTCGGTGGGTGGATGCGGTGGGCTACCTTACACCAGGAAGGAGGAGGGGGGGGGTGGGATGTGCCGCAAGAAGAAAACGTTGGCGTGATTCCATTTTGACGTGCCATCGAAAACGGAGTTCCGCTGTACTACGCCCGACGTTCGATTACACAAGGTGATGGGTTGATTCTCGGAAACTTTGGGCTCCCAGCCTGAGCTTTGTCTTACCTCAGCCATAAACACTCAAAAGTTCTCGTCAGTGATGTGTCAATCGGTCTCAGTCCAGTAGAAATGGGAGGGGCAGCGCGGCAGCGGAAGAGTGGGAACATGTCCTCTGTGCCTTGTGCCTGGCGTCGTGCCTGGACTGTTCCGTCAGCCGCCTCTGGCGCAGAAGCTCGGGTCAGAACTCAGAAAAGTAAAAACAAAAAAAAACAAAAAAAAAAAAAGGTGGTGTTGTAGGGCGGGAGCAGCCACCGCCGTCCACGGCGTTAACTAGTCGCCACGTCAAAAAGCAGAGCTGAGGGCGAAGGCGGGGCTAGAACTTGGGAGCTTACTCTGATGTGCTTGGATATATTGATCCCCTCATAGCCAAGATTTCTTGAGCAGCAGAATTTGCGCGTCCAAAACCACACCACCATCTCATCTCATCGCCCCAAGTGCTGCTGCTACCTCGGCCTGATTCGCTCGCTTGCCCAGCATGAAGCTCTCATTGGTTGCTGTTGCAGTTGCTGCTGCCTTCTCGTCGACGGTGCTGGCTCACTCGAGCTCACCGGCCGACGTGAACATGCTGGAGATGCGAGCTGCCAAGGGCAAAGGCAAGCATAACAAGCACGAACACCCCAAGCATGACTTTCGTCTGGCTTGTGTTTGCGAGCCCGACCGGTGTCCGACGTTTCTGCAGGGCAAGTCGGTGAGTTTGCTCTCTTACATCTTCACTGTTCTGCCGGCAGCGTCAGAGTCGTAGTATGGTATCCATGCTGACTTATCTCGATGTTGATATTACCGTAGCTGTGCGAGTGCAAGGCAGCCCACCTCGAGGGGTGCTACTTGAAATCGCAGAGAGGATGCCCAAAGCCCTCGGCTAAGGTAAGATTTTTTTCTTTCTTTTTTTCTTTCTTTGTTGTGTTGACGTGGCCGGTCGCGTGCCTCCGTCAGGGTCTCGTTCGCTCAATCTATCCAAAGTATTCTGCGCAGAAATCGAACAGTTGCTGACGATCATGGCCTTGAACAGAAGTGTTGAATGCAGGAGGATCGCTTGGCATGTGAAGCTAGCGGCCTAGGGCTGCCAGGGGTCGAGGAGAGAAGTTGAAGGGGGAAAATATTTGAACAGAAGAAATGTAATTGGTTAAAAAAGTTTTGGAGTGTTCCCCGGTGCCGTTTGTGCCGAGGCCAGCCGTGTTCGCATGTAGCAATTGACAGCAATTAATCTCTATTTCTTGGGGGACGCCCAACCAGCAAGGTTCAATATAAGCTTCCCCTACACTACCGGGCACATTTCTTGAAGAAAATACAAGCTCTTGACAAGAAAATGACAAGAAGGGACAAGCCCTGGGCGAGATCCACACGCAAGAGAGTCCAAGACAACGCCAAGGTGTCGTATATAGTGTAGAAAAGACATGGGACGGGAGCAAAGGGGAATTGAACAATTGCATTGTTTATTTCATTTTCCTTGATTGCTTTGCTAGGTAGGTATAATGTGTATCCTTATTCCGTAGCCTAATGTACTGTAAAAGTGACAAAAGAAAACAAAAGACAGTCGCAGCCATTTTTAGGAAACCTAGGAAACCCCAATGCAAATCCCTTTCCCCGTTTAGACAGAAAATGAAATGAAACAGAAAATGTGTGTGTGTGTGTGTGTTTGTGCCTTTTTCAGGTGTGTGTGAGGTGAGGTGTGTCAGTTGAGGTTGCCCTGGGTCTGCCAGGTGGCAGAGGGCAGAGATGTGTGTGCCGCGTCCCACTCACTCAGCTGTCGACCCTTGTCCGCGACTCCAAAACACCGCAACGTCAAACGACCACCGCGACCGACCCTCCATCAAACAGATCAATCAAATCAATCAATCAATCAATCAATCAATCAATCAATCGCCAATTTTACCCATTAGCATTATACCCCATCGAAGGAAGAAAAAAAAATACCGACATCCACCCGATCCCGAAACGAAACCACATCCTCGAAGGGAATCAGTCGCTTGGCTTGGCTTTGGCTTGGCTTGCTTTGGCCTGACAGGACGGGATGGACATCACACCTTGACTGACTGCTGCTGCTGCTGCAGCCCCAAGGTCCTCTCGACAAAGTTCCACAGATCTGATGCGCACTGGGCGACGCTCTCCCGCGGTGACCACCCCAGCTCCTTGCTGGCTCGCTCGGTAGACGCCACGCAGACGCCAACGTCTCCTGGTCTTCGTCCGGCCCAGTCCAGTGAGACAGTCCTTTTCGATGCGGCCTCGAGGCTCCGGACTGCTTCGAGCACAGTGGTGCCCGTGCCGCTCCCGAGATTGAAGGCGCGGAACCCTGTCCCCCCGCGATCGCCGTTCCACCCGAGCGCCGAGATGTGGCCCCGCGCCACGTCCAGGACGTGGATGTAGTCTCGAACCGCCGTGCCGTCCCGCGTCGCCCAGTCTGTGCCGAATACGTTTAGCCTTTCCCTCTGCCCCGTCAGCACCTGTGTCAGCACGGGGTACAGGTTGGTCGCCTCCCCCCGCGGGTTCTCCCCCAGCAGTCCCGACGGGTCGCAGCCAACGGGGTTGAAGTAGCGCAGTGCCACGATGCGCCAGGCCGGGTTCGCGGCCGCCACATCTGCAAGAATAGCTTCGCTGAAGTACTTTGTCCGCGCGTAGGGGCACGACAGGCCCACCGCCGACGGCTGCGTCACGATGCGCTCGCCCGTCGACTCGTCGACCCGCTCCTCGGCGTGGTGGATCAGGTCCGACTCCCGCAGCGGCTCGCCCGTGTTGGCCTTGGACCCGTACACGGTCGCCGAGCTGCTAAAGATAAAGTTGTGGATGTTGTACTTGTCGAGCTGCTGGAGCAGCGATACGAGCCCGCAGACGTTGTTCTGGTAGTACTGCAACGGCCGCCGTATCGACTCCTCGACCGACTTGTAAGCCGCAAAGTGGATCACCCCCTCGATGCGGGACTGGTACGTCATGCGTTGCCTGCCGCTGCCGTCGATCGACATGACAAGGTCCGTGTAGCTCTCGATGAGGAACCGCATCGATCGGCTGCGATAGTCGAGACGGTGGAAGTGGATCAAGGGCATCCTCCTGCCATTGGCCTTGCAGTGCTTGGCCGTCAAGGTCTTGATGCTGTCCAGGATGGTCTGGTAGCTGTTGCTGAGGTTGTCGACAATGATGACTGCAAGACGGCACGGTTAGCACGAGACGGCAAAAAAGGTGGGGGGAGAGAACAATACCATTGTGCCCCTCTCTTAGGAGCTCCAACACGGTGTGTGATCCGATATACCCAAGACCCCCGATGACGAGGGTGAACTTGGGGCTGCCAGCTTCTTGTTCACGACCACCAAGTGGTGATGGGGAACGATCAATGTCGAAGCCATCCTCAGACAAGTCGGGACTAGTGAGCGGCGAGCTCGCGGCGGGTGAGTCCGACGGCGAGGAAGAGCTCACCGAGTGTGCGTAGTGGTCGTTGTCCATGTCGTCAAGTCCGCTGGGAGGTTGAACAGGTAGGTTGTCGGTGGAATCCCCGGGCCACATGCTTGCTGCTTCTGGTTGTGTGTGTATGTGTGTGTGTGTGTATGGTATATATGGGAGGCTTGATAGGGCTAACGAAACATGCAAGGACAGAATAGGGATGCCAGGCTTGGTATTTAAAAACACGGTACCGGGGCTGCCGTGACTGCGGAAGAAAGCTCACTGATGAGACATATGAATCACGGCAAAGGGAAAAATTAGGCCGGCTTTATCAGCCTGACTCTGCCAGCCAGCAACAAGGTGCTATTCTGGGCAGTGGAGTCCTCGCTTTGCTCCATGTGTCCCGGTACTCCGGGAGCCCTACTTCCACGGCACCATGCACGACCACTGCGGCAATGGTTCGAATGGAAGCATTGGCCGCAACCGGATGGGCAAGACCTTCTGCCAGACTGTCCAGAACTGTCCAGGGGGGGCCCAGGAGGGGGGTGGAGGGTTCCTTAGGCCCGGGTCGGGCTTACCGCCTTGGGGTCTCGACTTCATCCCACTCAGTTTCGTTTCACTGGCCACAACACGACGGAACACAAAACACAGGGCTCCGCAGAAAGAGACAATCACATCAACTACTCAGCCTATTCACGAAAGCAACTCCACGGCCGGAATTCTTTCCAATTCGGGCTGACGTCTTTTGCTCCTCAGCTCCACAAGGGCCGGGAGCACCCGACAAATATGCCCTGATTGCCATGGCGGTGCGGGATGGGACTGGACTGGACTGGACTGGACTCGAACTCGAGATACACAGGCACACCATCAGGAACAGCAAGCTTCTTTCAGCACAGCTCACATCCTCCCTGTGCTGTGCGGCGTGGCTTTGCCCTCTGCGATTGTGCCCTTTGTGAGCCATTTAGGCTATTGACTGCTATGGAAGAAGCCGGGGCCCCGCTGTGGAAAAGAATAAACAATACATCAAAGGACGGGATTCAGGAACAGAAGGTGGAAGAGAGGCTCTTCTTAGACAGAGCCTCCTGTGCCGGGTGGGTAGCTTCCTGGCTGACCTAACCGTGACATCCGTATAAAAGAAAACTCTTACGACTTTTCTCAAGCTAAGCGAGTTGGCGCTGACGGCCTTGGACACAGTTCACCGAAAACAAAACTGTACACGCAGTAGATGGTGATATTCTCGCCCGCCTGCCCTGTTGGGCACGACGGAATCCTTGGCGAATACTCCGTATTGCTTCTCTTTTTTTTTTTTCTCTCCCTCTCAGGCTTGTCCCACTTGAGCGTTGCGGCTGACGGCAATCACGTCATTGGAAGTGGTACTGGGATGATTCCGGTAAGGTGCTCGGACAAGACTTGATCTGACAAGCTCTGTGGTACCAGCACAGCGTTCCCTCACAGACATGACAACCTGACATGGCGCCAAAACGCCATCCAACCCACGCCCAAAACCAGACCAGATGGTTTGCCGATGGGCGAGGACTCAGTCGAGGTCTGGTCATCAGGGCGAGACTTTCTGAGTCGAGGTTGGGGAAATATTGGGGATGTGATGGACGGTCCTTGCATTGCATAATTGTCCAGACTGGACTGTGAGGTTGGATGGTTGAATGTACCTTTGTATCGTATCCGTACCTGTTTTTCTTTGACCTCGAGGGAGCTTGGCAAAGAATAAGGCGATTCGCTTCGCCCAATTCGATTCGAGCATTTCGGAATTTGTCCCGACCTGGGGAAAATCTTGCAGGACGCCCAAAAGCCAACACGAGAAAAATTCTTTCTTCTTTTTCTTTTCTTTCCAACGAACGAAGTCGACGGCCGCGTGGAGAAACAAGTGGTTGACAGTCACAGACAAGGCTCGACGTTGGCCGGGCGGGGTTACATACGGCGAGTACTGTACAGGAGAGAAGCTGCATCTCGTCTCGTCTGGAGCTGCAATGTCACTCGAAAACGGAAGACAGGAACGCCAACAAGTCACCAAGTTAACAGTCAGAGCAACCTTGGGCTTGGCAACCACACCACAAGAAGTGATCTCCGTGGGGCTTCGATCTCGCCGTGCGTTAGCGCGTATATGGGGGAGAGCGGCCTATCAGCTTGACCCCTTGCTCCCCGATCAGCCTTTTGATGACAGGCCGGCAACTGAGGTGCCGATCCTTGCCCAGGTTCCGGAATATTCTTATTGTGGGAGCACAAAAGCCCCGGTAAGCGCCCAAGCGCCTCCCCCCCGATACTGTCACACACACACAGACACACACAGCTCCAGCTCCCATCGACTCTTCTCTCATGGACGGGAGACTCGCAGACGTTCCACGCAGGGAGCCGTACCGTTAACCGACAACCGAGCGCGCGCAATCTCCCATCTCACCCATTCTCATCGTATTTGCTTTCTTTTCTAAAAAAGCCATCAGCCGCTCCGATGCCAACGTCGGCGCCATTTGTCGTACACTGCCGGCCGTTTTTGCTATGACAATTCGGGCCTAAAGGATTATCGGGAACCTGGAAGTGCTGTTAGTGCGCAGCAGCTAGCTTACCAGTGCTTACCTAGCGGGAAAAGCTAGCATATGCCCAAGCAAGGCAGGCTGAACTAGCTGACAGCGAGCGTTGGTTGTCCACGTTAGATCTTGGCCCTACCAGAAACGAAGCTCACCGACACCACGTTCACAAAGAAAACTGTCCACACCTGGACTGGACAAAACAATGGGGCCGTGGGGGCGAAACCTCAACAGATGCATATTTTGTTATTTGCCTATATTCCCTTGTTCCCTTTGTTCCCCTTTGGGACACATCCATTGTATTTGCGTCCCATCGACAAAACCAACAGCATACATTAGCGAACGGCAAACGTGGGCACAGCGGAGTTTGGCCTCGGCCAGCTCACACAAGCCACACAAAGAAGGAGGGAGAGAAAAAAAGGCACACCAGACAATTTCATTCGGAGCCCGTATTTTTATTTTTTATTTTCTCTGACGTTGTACCAAGTCAAACTGTGCAACTTCAAACCCTCACCGTGTATCCACGTGGACATGCGCTAAAAGGGTTGCAGATCTAGCTCCGTACCCGTACCACTCTCTGCGTTATTTTGGGATGCGACTCAGTCTGAGTCGACTCTCCCTGAAGTTGACCGGCGAACAGACCCGCTGTTACATTGCAAGGGGCAAGAGAGATATGTATGTTCGGTGGGGTAGGGTAAGGTAGGTAGGTAGGTGGGTGGTTGTGTGGTTTGTGTGCTGGTGGTCCCCGAGCGAGGACGGACACAACCAAGCCCCCCCCCCCCTCGTTTTTTTTTGCTCCCTTTCCCTCCTTGGGACCTGGACTCGGACGCCGAACTCGAGGTTTGTATTTGCCGCAAAACTGTGGGATATCGGATTTGGTTGCCCTGCTTTTGGGCACCAAGAAAACCAAGAACCTTGCTGAGACAGCTTTCTCTTTGGCACAGCTGCTGTCTTTCAGTAGTGAGGGCGCCACACCCGCATCCCGCAAGCTTTGCCTTAACCAAGCAGATGTTACATCACACTTTGTGTCTCAGCCTCTTTTCGAAACCGGAAGTCGTCCAAGAGAACAACAACATGTCCGGGATGGATAACGGACTGCTTCTTCTTTCTGACGAGTCTTTGGCGCCTGGCCATTCGGTGGCCGCCACCGTGGTGTGTGACCACAATGAACGGCCGGGGTGTCCGGCAGCCCTAGTTCAGCCAGGAGGCTTTTTTTTTCTCTTCCTTTGACTCTTTCGGCTGGGGGAAAAAGGAAGGCTTGGGTCTCCCTCGGATGTTGTGGCTGGATGGATACCCATCCCGGGTCCATGCGAGGCGAGACGAACAAGCTCATCAAGCTCATCTTGGAGCCAAGTAACCAAGCAAAGAGAGGGCCAAGAATTCGCCGTGGGTGGGTTTCGTTGTCATTCGTCAAACAAACAAATGGGGATCTGCTCACACTGATCACCACATCCCCTTCCCTTAATATCCATTTTTTTTATCTCCTCTCGTGGCTTGTCTAGACCCCTTGGCCCCTTCCCCCATTGTCGGTCAACCCCATCCTATCTCTTCACCGTCATCTTGTCTTTCGTTTCTGCAGGATCGTCGTCGTCTTGATTCTCGTGGGCCACCTTGTTTCTGGCCTTGGGGAAGTTCTACTTTCGTTTTCTTGAACATCGTCGCCTGCGTCGTCTCCAGTGATAGGCAACAAAGTGCGTGGTGGGTTTGATGAGGTTGAGGTAAATTTATACCTTGGCGTCGTCGACAATCAACACATAGTACGAGAAACACACGCACACACGGGTCGGGTTCGGCAACAATCTCGTCGTCGATTGTTCTGGATATCCCGTCGGAAAGGGCGGTTATTGTTCTCTTGGGGGGGAATGTGGAATAGGAGGAAATAATACCGGTGTGTACACATGATCCATCCTACCTTCTGTCATGCAGGTGTGAGAGCACCGCACCAGCACCAGCACCAGCAACCAGCACCGACACTATCTTGCCTTGCCTTGCTTTCAGCATCCCGTCGTTCCCTATCATCGTGTGTGTCACTTTACCTAGTCTAACTATTCATTCATGACATAGTAATCCCTAATCATCTGTTAGCGTCGTCGGTGTGTGTGCGTGTGCGTGCGTGTGTGTGTGTGTGTGTGCGTGCGTGTGCGGGATACCTACCCATCTCCAAGTACGCACCCGCATCGTCACTAGTGCTAGTTTTTTTCTTGTTGTTTCTTTCTCTTTCTGCTTGTCACACCCTCCCGCCATATCGCCATCATGGCCTCATTCTTTCAGTTACCGACGTCGGGTGACCCGGTGGTCAAGGAATGCAACCCGGACGGGAACCTCACCGACCAACGCCAGGTCTACTGCAACAAGGTGATACCGTCCGAGGACCGGCTCAAGACGCCGCTGCAGGTGTTCACGCTGGTGTATGGGGCCGTGTGCCTGGGGCTGCCGGTGCTGTACTTTGTGATCAAGCAGTTGGTGGTGTTGGGGAGGAGTTGGAGTCGTCGACGGAGCGGGACAGAGAGGTATGTCTGCCTCCATCGCCACCTCGGTTTTGATATCAAGCTAACATGCCCTAATAGGAGGATACCCCCATCAATACTGGGAAGTAAAACCAAGAACAAGTCGAGGTCGTTGACGTCCCTCCCGTCGACGAGCACCACGGAAGCGAAGTTGCTGTCGTCGGTTCAGCATCTTCACTTTCTCGGCGAGGGCGAGGGCGAGGGCGAGGACACTGCTGCCATCTTGGCGGATGGTGGTGGTGGTTTGGGGAGTGAGAATGAGCACCCCTCTCATCACGCTTACATTGTCCCCCTGAGATCACTGGGTTCGACATCCTCTCCCATCAGGACAAACCCCCCCAGGATAGGACCTGGCAACTCGCAGGATAAACCTGTGATTCTCGGCTCTGTCGCCCTGCAGCACATCACAAGAACTACCCTCCCCAACTGGGTCCGGTACCTTACCAAGCTAATCAAAGATGACTTTTCCGCCTCCGGGGTCGTCATCTCCCTCTCCTCCCCTTCCACCACCACCTCCGACAACAACCAAGACGTAGTCATCCTCCACGACCTCCTGACCCGCCTCCAAGAAATCGACATCCCCACCCTCATCACCCTCCCCCATGACTTGGCAGACTCCCTACCCCTCTCCCACGTCGACCTGTCCCTCGTGGCCGGTCTGATCATCCAAAACGCGTGTATCCTCCCCGACGGAACAAGACGTGACTTCTTCCGGAGCTACCCCCTCCGCAACCTCATGTCCCGCGTTCTTGGGGAGAGGTCCGACCGGCCCTGGTTTTTCGTCGGGTTTTGGGATCGTTGGGATGTCAGGCCCAGCCCGGCGGTGGTGGTGAGGGGGGAGAAGCTGGCCAGGCATTTTGAGGGGGTGTTGGCCCATGGCCCCAACGGGGGAGAAATGGGGAGGAGTGTGAGCGGGTTTGAGGTTTTGAGGAAGCCGGAGACGACGGACTTGCAAAAGGTGTGGATGGGGCAGGGGAAGGGGGTTTATTTTGGAGAAGGGGCAGAAGAGGTGGCGGGGTTGGATTTGGAGGAGATGAAAGATTTTTTGCCGGAGATAGATGTGTTGTTGGAGGGGGTGGCGGTTGGGGAGGGGGATGACGACAAGGTGGAGGAGGTGGACAGGCATCGGTTGTCGCTGCTTTCCTCTACGGCTGGAAGAGGTGGTGCTGGGGGCGAATATGAGATGCCGGGTTCGTTGGTGGGGTTCTGGGACGGGACGGGGGCGGGGGAGGAGGTTTCCTGTTTGGGGTGTGTGCCGCTTCATGTTGATGCTACTGCTGAGCATTACGAGGCGGTGCTGGCTACGCAGGAGCACCTGAGGGAGTTGGAGATGTTGGAGGTGGTGGATGAGGTGGTTATCAACAAGATTGTTGAGCAGCTCAGGGCTTTTCAGGAGAGTTCTGCCGAGCCGTACTTGGTCAATGCGCTTTATGAGGGGTTGAAGCAGCAAAAGGTTGTTGTTTACAAGGGGCTCGCGACGGGGTTTAGTATCCCGGATAATGCGGCCGAGTTTTGGGGGGTGAGCAGCGAGTTTTTGGTCGAGGGGGAGGAGAAGGTGGGGGTGAGGTTGTACATCTCGCGGAGGTGTCCCTGGGATGTCAGCACCATCCTTCACACCTGGTTTGCCCACCACGGGTTGACCCGCATCGAGCGGTTCGAAGAGGAGCTGAGGTTGGAGAAGGCGTTGGATCCCACCTCGACGGCAGAGGTACCCCTGAGCATCAGGACAGCCATCCAGGGCTCGACCCCGGCCGAAGCCCTCAGCCTGCTGCAGCGACTCCAAACCAGCAAAGTCGAGCACGCCTTCAAGCGGCCCATCCAGGACGACTGCCGGGTTCTCCTCCTCGACGAGACCTCCGTCGCCTCGTGGAACGACGCCCACTCCCGCAAGTATCAAGAGGGGACCATCACCATGGAGCAGCTCCTGCGAAACCGCCTCTCCCACTTTGCCCGCTTGGGCGCGAAAAGACTTCCCTCCCTTGGCAACCTCCTCAAATTGCACGAGCTGATGGAGAACTTGGTCGACCACTGCCTCTTCGTCGGCGACATTGAACCCCTCAACACGATCAACTCGGCCCTCACCCTCGCCTACGACCCCCTGAACTGCCTCCACGACAGCAAGCACGTCGACCCCAACGCCGAGTTTGTCATCCTCCTCTTTCTCTGCGCGCTGCGAAAGTCGGCGCTGGAAGACGTCTACATTGAAGCGACGGACCACTGCCCCGTCTTTTCCCAGCCCGACCAGGCCGCCGTCTTTTCCGAGCTCTGGGTCCTCGGGTCGCAGTGTGAGCTCTACTTCGGCATGCCGCCGCGTGCTTTGGGTCGGATCATCTACGCCCGTCACCGGGAGTTCCTCGCGGCTGACCCGCCACCGCCGTTGACCAAGGAGCAGAAGGGGTTGATGACGGTGTATGCCAAGCCGGAGCCGTCCACCGGGATCAGGAAGATTGACCCTGAGGGGCCGGCGAGGCAGGGGTTTAGTGTGTTCAAGGCCGTGCAGGGGATGAGGAGGGCGACGTCCGAGTTTGGGGCCTTGTCGATTTTTTGCCTGCCGGCCATGTTGGACATTGTGCTGCTGACGTTTTTGGGGAGGGGGTTGTTCATGACGGCGTACATGGGGGAGAAGTATTTGTCGGCGGCGTGTTATGCCTTGTTGATCAGCTTGTTGCTTTCGGCGGGGGTGACGGGGTGGGTGGGGAGTGCTGGGAAATTACTACCTCTACAATGTGAGTTTTTTCTTTTTCTTTTGTTGCTGCTTGTGATGATTGAGTGGCTGACATATGAGGTGTAGTATGCCTACAACAACATGGTCTTCTTCCACGTTCAGCGTCTTGCTGGCGGGTTTGCGTTGACCTTGCTGGTGGGTGTTGTCGGGACGGTGATTCACATCGTCAAGGTCGGGGTCGCGCCGGCGTTTACGTATTTTGCGTACCTCGTGCTGATCTCGACGTATCTGAACGTGCTGGGAATCATGGCCACCATGCACCAGCACGGCACCCCCCTCACGTCCGGCCGCACCGTCCTCTGGCGCACCCTCCCCCTCCTTTTCATCTCCCCCATCGTGTCGACCTACCTCAACGGCCACGACCTCGAAATCTACCTCTCGGTCGGCTTCGGCTTCTTGATCCTCCTCCTGATCCAATACCGCAGCCTCTGCCACGAGTGGATCAACTGGCTCGACAACGTGCCCAAGTTTACCGAGAAGGACATTCTGACTTGGTACACGACCCGGCTGGAGAAGCAACAATCGTCCGGCAACCAGAGCAGCAGCAGCACCTCGTCGGTGTCTGACTCCCTCTCGGAAAACCCAGACAACTTCAAGAAGCTCGCCCTGCAGGCCTTTCGCGAGACAATCACCCAAGGCAGCACCAACTTTGGCCACCTCAAGAACACGGTTATCACTCCCGACCCTCTGATCAGAAGGATAGTCAAAGGCCTGCCCTACATCCTCTGGCTCATGAAGAAGGACGCCACCGAAGACAACCAGCCGGCCGAGATGTTTTCTGTCGCCTGGTTCTCGCAGCTTTCCCAGGCCCTGAAGCGCCAGCAGCAGATGGCGCAGGGACTGAAGGAGCACAGCATCTTCATGCTGTTTCGGTACGGCAAGCTGGATATCGGGCAGAATGTGGGCTTGTTTCTGATTTGTCTGATGGATCGGTGGGTGAGCATCGCGATGGCGGCCAACTCGGCGCCGATTGACTACTTTACCACGTTTACATCGAGGTACGCGATTTGCTTCGCGATCCTGTACTTTTGCGCGAGCGTGATGATGCTGGATAGCATGTTGAGGGAGTACTGGAAGGCAAAGTATGATTTGAGCGAGGAGGGGCTGGGGAGCTTGGGGGAGGCGGAGGGCGTGAGTGGGGAGTGGGAGAGGTGAGTACCTTATCTGCCGTGCTCCTGGAGTGAGAAAGAGGGGGAAGCTGACTATGAGATCACAGAAAGCGGAGAGGGCTTTATTTCTCCGCGCTGTTTCGGCTGGTGCGGAGACTGATGCTCATCATGGGTACCGGGACGATGCTTGTTTGGACCCTCGTCGACGATGCGCAGATGCTCGAACTGTACTACATTTACCTGTTGGGCTATTCAGGCGTGATACTGTTTCAGGTACGTTTCCCCATAGGCGGGACAAGTGTGCAACAACATCCCGAGACCTCGTCTTTTTGTGCATCGTTTAACCGGCTGGGGTGTGTATATATAGTTCAACCGCTGCTTCACCACGGATCCCTCGTCTCACTTGGCGGCTATTCTCGTCTCTGCCATCTTTGGCTTCATCACTGGGTGCATGCTCCACGTTGTCTTTCATGGCAACGGCTTGTTCTTCACCGACGCCATCGCGCTCAACGTTGCCTCGCTTACGGCGGCAGCGACGACGACCATCTGGGCCGTGTATGACTTTGGCAGACCCAAGTTCAAGGATGGCGAGGGTCGAGTTGACGAGGCTGACACGTTGGTTCAGCCTCGCCTGGGCGCACCCCCCGCCACGTCGGAGAAGACCCACTGGAGGGACCTGCCTGGTACTCCCATCTTCACGCAAGCTACCGCTGGGTTGCCAGAGAGAGTCTTCGCCTTCTTGCGGTCAAGTCTTGACCGGCCCTCGGCGAACTTTGACAAGGCTCCTTGGGCTAGGCAGCTGCTTGAGACGACGGTGCAGCTGTGGCAGGACAAGCAGATCCAGGTCAACATGTGCTCCCGCTCGGCGTTTATTGAGGGCGGGTTCGAAGATGCTGTGTCCATTGGCAAGCAGGTTGGTGAAATCCACTACATCGATGTCGCCGGCCTTGGGGAGATGGACTTGGGCAATGAGGCGTGGGAGTTGTTGGCTGCTCAAATCATCGCCGAGGCTACCCTGCATCACATTGCTCGCGCCTCCCTTGGCCTGACTGCCGACCAGGCCATCCAGGCTGAGCATATCCTGTTTGGCACCGAGTCCTTGTCCAAACGAATCGAGCTTCAGCTTGCTGGCGATGATTACACTAGTCTCCTCATCGTCAAGGAGACGACCCAGCGCATGCTGATGAAGCACCTCTGCTTTGGCGTCGAGATCGACTCTGAGTGGGAGCTCCTGCCACCTGCTGTTCGTGCTTCCATGTTCCAGCGCATGATGGGCGCGGAGCTCTCACCTTCCAACGGTATTTTGGAGTGGCTCAATGAGAGGGGTCTCGACATCTCCTCGGTCAACTTCCAAGTCGAGCTCTGCAACCTCATCTTGAGCAAGACTGAAGAGGTCTTGGGTACTCGCACTCCACCCAACTATGGCAATGACATCCTCGCCGGCCCTGGCTCAGGCAAGACCAGACAGTCTACTCCCTTCTTTGCCCGCATCATCAATCTCCCCGTCACGCTGGCAAAATGGGTTGGTATCATCTCCGGAGGCGGTTCCCACCTTGAGCGAGAACTCTGGTACAACCTGCGGCACTACCCCTGGATGCGCACACCTCTGATGTACCTTATCACGCTCATCTGGAGAGGATGCCGCTGGGTCAAGAACGCCATCACATCTCTGCTGCTCATCTACCGCCATGCCGCCCTGGTCAACATCTCCCGCCTCGCCAAAAAGGGTGTCTCCAGAACCCTGGTCAAGGACCGCATCACCGCCGAGCTTCGCCGCAAGGTCGTGACTGGTTTTGCGTCCCGACCCGGTGAGAACTCGATGACGTTGGAGGTGTTTGAAGGCGCGCTCAAGACCAAGCCGGGAGAGGAGCACAAGCCGCTTGCCACTGCCATCTACGACAACGCCTCTCGTCTCATCACCCGGCGCGATATCTCCAAGAGTGGTGACACTGTCACCACCTACACGTATGGCGACAGCACCAAGTCGCGGTACCCCAGCTGCAAGGTCGTTTCCGACCAGAAGCACACCAAGCAGTGCTTCTACGACAAGAAGGGACGCGTCACCCACGGCACCATGGCCTACGACGGGATCGAGTACTCGTTCCAGTACTTTTACAAGTCCAGCCCCAAAGGCAACCACGAAATCCTCAAAGCCGAGTTCAAGCCAGCCACCGCCAACCACCACCACCACCACCACAACAACAACAACAACAACAACAACTCGTCTTCCGACAGCATGGCCGTCTTTTGGGGCACGCCCCTCCGCGAAGACCTCTCCTCGGAGAAGCTGAATTGGGTCCCTTCGGACCGCGTCTGCCGCGTCGTCAGGACCATCGCCGGGAAGAAGTACGTCACCACAAGCGACTACCAACACCGTCGCGACCCCGTCATGATGACGGTGCTGCTCTCGGAACAAGGGGACAACACCAAAGCAGCAGCAGCAGCAGCCGTCGCCAAGCCCCCCGTCGTCTTCCAGCACGAGGAGCTCTTCCTCCAACGACCCAACGACCACTACTTTGAGAACGACGACCTGCTGATCCACCACCGGGTCGACCACGTCCGGCGGATGGCGCGCTTCTGCGGGCACAGCATGTCGTGGATCTCGGTCCTGAACCCGGCCGCGTGGCTGTACAGACGGCAAAAGACCATCTACCGGCCCGTGCCGACGTGGTGGTTGAGAACCGAGCTCTGGGACCACTGGCGCAAGGGCGGCGGGGTTCTGGACGCGATCGCGGCCTGCTGGATGGACGAGCTCATCCTCCGGGAGGAGCCCCTGCTCAAGAAGTACTGGAGCGCGAGAAACGCTGGTCAGCTCGACAAGGCAAAGGCTGCGCTGGACGGGGCAATTGAGCAGATTGTCAGCGCGATCGAGATTGAGAAGGACGTCTCGGAGGTTTGTCTGCTGCCGATCAAGTACTCGGATTTGTATGCTATGGGGTTGGGGAGGGATGCGAACCAGCTTACGATGAGGCCGGGCGATTGCTTTAGGGATACGCACGAGAGGATATCGGTTATTTTTAATGACATTGGGTGCTGGCCGGATTCCCCCGGGGGGGTGAGCAATTGCAGGAGGGATTTGGTGAATGGGCACAGCACGATCCGGAATCATGTGTTGGCCGAGTCGGCGAATGAGTATGGAATCCCGAGGTTTCAGGTGGAGAAGAGCGTGCAGAGCTTGAAGATGTTGCCTCTGTGGGGGTTGGACGGGAGGACGCCGAATCATGGGGTTATTGACAATCTGCTTGAGTCGGAGGTGGATGCCAAGATTGCTGTGACGGATACCTATCGGGACATTGCCGGCACGTTTGTCCCTTTGATCAAACTTTTTGTCAAGGGGGCGAGGTCGAGGCATATTCCCAAGCAGGATATGATCCACTACAGCAACGCCATGCTGGGCATCTTTGAGTTCTTTGAGCACAAGGACTACAACAAGGCGTGGAAGTCAAGGGAGGTGGCGTCTGCGTGGGTGGAGGCTTGGTTGACAGAGTACGACGACGACAACATTGTTGATCCGAGCTCCTACTTTGAAGTTGAGAAGCCGTCCATGACCGACTTTCGCGCGACTCTCGAGATCTTCTGCTCGTACTTTTTCATCTTTTCGGTCCAGACCCCCGAGGACTGCCCCAAGGTCTTCCAGTCGACACATCACGGCATCAGCAGCCTGTTCGGCATGCTGCTCAAGTACAAGCGGGGGGCCACCTTTGGCATCTGGGACCACGCCATCCTCTGGAGAGAGTGCTGCCTCAACATCTCCCCCGCTCAGTCCACCCTCCCGCTTCCCGTCCAGTCCATGCTCCTGTCCGGCATCGGCCTCGCCATGAAGCTGGCCTACTTCCACGCCGACGTCGTCCTGCCGTGCACGCCCGTCTTCAACCCCATCTGGGAGCAAGACCTCGGCACCGATGGCAACCGGCTCTCGCACAAAAAGACGTTTGCCCGCAAGATCGACCCCATCGTCAACGGCGTCAGCAACATGGACGCCTTCAAGCCGGTCGAGCAGGTCGGCACCGACACCCCCACCGTGGTGATGCTGTCAAACGTCCAGTTCATCAAGGACATCAAGACGGCCATCCTGGCCGCCGACGTCATCGTCAACAAGTACGGGTTTGCCGAGTACAAGCTTTTGGTCTACGGGGCGAGAGACAGGGAGCCGGGGTACGACATTGACATGTGCCGGCTGATCGAGTCGTGCGGCCTGACGAACCACGTCACCCTCAAGGGGTTCGGCAAGCCGGACCAGGCGCTGAAGGACGCGTGGCTGTTTATGAACTCGTCGCTTTCGGAGGGGCTGCCGCTTGCCATCGCCGAGGCTGCCCTGGCGGGTGTCCCCATTGTGGCGACGGCTGTCGGCGCGACTGCTTTGGTGCTCACCAACCCGGATGACCCGTCCGTGAGGTACGGCGAGGTTGTCCCGCCTAATGATCCGACCGCTTTGGCCAGGGCGCAGATTGCCATGTTGGCCATGTCTGGTCCCTGGGCCAAGTTCGCGGGTGATGTTGACAAGCGGGGCTCGGTGCCGCCTCATTTGCTCATGCCGGATACCTTGACGGCTACGGATGTCAAGTGGCTTACCAAGCGGATGTATGACAAGGCCGAGGACCGGAGGAAGCTGGGGTTGCTCGGGAGGCAGATGGTGCTTAGGGGGTTTCATGGGAAGAGGTACCTTAGGGAGCATGAGCAGATGTATTGGATTCAGTGGCATTTGGCCGGGATGAGGAAGGACAAGGCGCTGTTTGACGCCAGGAGGGTTGGGTGGAAGGGGGAGTTGTGGTTGAAGAAGGGGGAGAAGAAGGATAGTTTGAAAGCGAATAACCAGGGGGGCCTGCAGAGGAAGAAGAGTGCGAGGTGGCAGGAGTTTACCAGTGGGAGGACGCCGTATAGGGGGAAAAGATTGAGCAAGGCACCCAGTAAGCAGCGGGAGGAAAAGGTGGTGGTGACTAGGGTGCAGGAGGTGGTGTAAAGATTTTGGATTTTGAAGTTGTGTATATGCCCTGAGAATGATGGGAAAGCAAAAAAAAAAAAAAAAAAAAAGAATGTTGTCAATATGGGTTGGACGTAATGTTTGTTTGGGCTGGAGGAAAAGTTATTATTATGCCTTGGCTTCTTCCCTTTGTTCATGGTGTGCTCTTGTTAATGATTTGAATGGCTTATATAGATTTATGGCCTTAACTTGTAGTCGCTAGTTTGATAATAATATTCCATCAACTGAAGAGACCCCCCGCCCCCTGATACATGAACGCGAGGTTCGACTGCAGGTTCATCTCCTTCCATCTCCGTCTCGGTGAGAATCCAAGACCCAAATCCTGCTCCCTGACATCCTTGAAACTCCCACCATCCCTCTCTGTCCTGGTCATCCCTCTGTCGTGATTTCTCCCCGCGGACTGCGAGCGGCCGACAACTTCCAAAACCTTGGCCGTTCAAGCCTCACTCATTGTGTCAGCAAATACCACCTTGGGTCAGGGATACGACACTGAACCACGGATCTGGGATGACGGGGCGTGGGATATATACCTCGCGCGGTCTCAACTCACTCACCCCCACGCTTTCTCTCCCCCCATCATCACATGGACCCGACATCTCGGACTCTTTTGCTTCTGGAAGGTTTTGACAAATCAAAAATTGGGAACACGACATCGTTGTCTGAGGCTCAAGTGACTGGTTTACTGATGTATGCGACGTCAGCCTGCGCCACCAAGTGTTGGGGTGATGAACCAGAGTTCAGCCTGAGCTCACTGTTACACGGGGATTTAGGCCGGTCTGGTTCTAGAGGAAGTGGATGATGTTTCAAGGCTTGACTGGTTGGTTCCCGTGATTTGGGGACGTAACGTTGTCCTGGAAAAGCTTGTTTCCTGATCTCGTGTGCTCAGTATGAGGGCGTAGTTTGGTTTGTGGCACCTGAAGAGTGTCATTCCAGAGAGCCCTAGAGACCGGGCAGTTATGTCCGCCAAAGTACCCGGGGAAATGGTTAGAAGATTCTCAACTAGGTGATGTTGATATTTACTTACTTATATCATCGTGGATGGTGCTATAAGGAATGTATCTAGGATATGATGCTATTCTTTCGACAGTATTCTCATTTCTTGCTGGAAGTTTTTGGAATCGTTGGACATTTACCCACAGTTTCGTCAAGCTCCTACCTGCTTAGAGCAGCTATTCATCACCCATGATGATGACCTACTGCTCGGACTCGTTGAATCATCAATATCCACTGTTCTAAGATCTCGTCCATGGATGGTTTCGGTCTGTCGGTGTAGCCGATGTGAGACAAACGGTTGATGAAGTGTTCAGATGTCTGGCTCTCATCCCATCCTCAAAGCTGACTCCGAGACTAGTCTACACCTTCGTGATCAGATGAGCTGTCATTCCGGATACTAACGGCCAAAAGGAACCCTTCCAAATGTTGGATGACGCCATTCTCACGACGGGACCTCCGGATTGCTTGACTGATGGAGCGTGGGCCGAGCATCAGCCATGCTCACCGAGATTTTGCAGTGCTGCTCATCGATAATCTATGGCTTTCACATTTCTGACCATCACGATTCATGTAAGCTGGGACTTGTCAGGTTCGGCATGACACTCGGACTGTGATGCTTGTTACAGATCATGTGAAGCGTACGAGTAAAGCGGGCAGGCTTCGAATGCCGCTGATATTGTGGTGATCTTTCTGTTTGGAACCCCGCGGGTCTCGAGCATAAGTAGGAGCACAACCCTCGGCCCTGGAGGAATTGTTTCACTCACACTCACACTCACACTCACACTCACACTCACACTCGCACTCACACCCACATTCACATTCACACTCAAAACCCAAGACTAGTTCCACTCACTCAAGTCCTCAAGATGAAGTTCCTCGGTATCACCACTCTTCTCCTCCCCGCCACCGCACTGGCTCAAGGTGTCGTGTTCACACGCCAAATCATTGCCACTGGCGATGGGTGCAACTCGGCCACCATCCGCCCCGTCTTCAGCGCCGACAACAGGTCCGTGGAGGTCACACTTGACCGCTTCTTCGCCCAGCTCCCCATCCCCCGCGAGACCTTCTGCTCTCTCGACTTCCGCGTAACGCACCCCGTCGGCCGTAGCACCGTCAACGCTGTCGCCACGCTCATCGGCGATGTCTCGTTGCCAGAGGCGGGTGTTTCCGCCTTTGTGCAGCGCAACTACGTGATCTCCCCCACCACCGTGGGACGTCCCACTGGCGAGACCGACCCTCCCGCGCTCGAGTTTGTCGGACCTACCGCTGTTGGCTTCAACGAGGTGGACCGGTTCACCTACAGCCAGAGCTTCACCGCCACCCAGGACCGCACCGTCAGCATCAAGCTCAATGACGCCCGGCTTCGCCTTCAGCAGTCTACCGGGGATGAGGGGTTTATCCGCCAGTCCGTGTTCATCCTTGACATTCACGATCAGTCTTCGTCTTGAGGAAGTAGGTTGTTGTTGATGATTTGATGTTTCGGGGGAAGGGGTTGCAGTGGAAGAGGATGGGCACCGTATGGAAACAAAGTTCTTTGGCTTACCTTTTCTTACTTTTCTTACTTTCATTTACGCTCTTTATATATCTTATGTTTCTATCAACAGACCTCGTAGTCTTCTTAAAATAAACCCCTTGCAAGGAAACTGTACCTGGTTGCGTCAGCGATTATCTCTGTTTTCCAAAAGAAGCATGGTTGGTCAGAAATTCATCGATCCGGAGGATTCTGGCATCCTCGAATTAGCATTTTTCCGACGTTTAGGAGGCGGACGATGCATTCGAAGCATTCCACAACCTCCGAGACCTTCCGTAGCCCCACAAAAAGATTCCTTTCCTCCAGTCGATCAACTGCTTTCCGCTGATGTCTTGAAGCCAAACATGCCTTGGCCTGCTTTGCTACACCAATTGCCAGCCTTCCGGACACAGCACAGCATAATTAGCGCAGCCACCGCCTAGGCTGGTTTATTTCATGATCCTCGGCGGTTGCTGTAGGCATTAGCAGAAGGCTGGCTCCCTATCAGCAGCATTTTGGAAGTCAAATATTGCGGGATTTTCATAGCTTGTTTTTCCTTGGAAATACACATCATCTACCTTCTCCATGATGTCGCGGATGGCTCAGCTATACTCGCCTGTGTCTCTGCCGTACTGATGCTGCATGTGGTCGATCACGGGGGCTGAGGAACAGTAGCCTCCCTACGAGGAAGCACCTACCCGCGTCCATCCCGCGCTTTTCCATAGCAAAGGTGCCGTCTACATCAGAGGAGCCCGCCGCTCCCACCACTTCGTCATTGCTCCGTTTGTCCCATCCTTCTCATCCCATCCATACCGCCATCAACATGGCATCCATAACTCCGTTGCAAAAGCTCTCCATTTTCCAGCACAACACCACCAGCCCTGTCGAAAGCAAGGCGATGAATGATGCCTTTGCATTGTTCTCATTCTTACCTGCAGAACTGCGGGTCAAAATTTGGAGGACCTCTCTACAACGCCAACGAATCATCCAGGTGGTGCTCACACCACTCCACGAAGCCAAAAGCCGCTACGTCATCGAGAGCAACATCGACACGCCAAATGGCGAGGAGTTCATCGCTGAAGTTGGCGGTGTCAAAACCATCAGCAAGCTGATGCGCGTCAACAGGGAAGCTAGGCATGAAGCACTGCTGTTCTATCGCGTACACCTTCCTTGCAGATTCATCAAACCCTGGGAGATCAAAGCCCAACCAGTCGCCCACCCCCATGGGGTCCTTTACTTCAACCCTGAACACGACTTCCTCCACATTTTCCACACCAAAGGCAACGACCGGGAGAACCCGGCTTCTCTTGTGACGCCGTCGAATTTCCTCTACCATCTCAAAACAACTTATGACCGCCGACATGTCGGCTTGCTCAACCTCGCACTTGACAGAGACCCAGCCAAGGCGGACTGGAGGGCCGGCGCGGTGCGGTTTGACGCCTCTTTTGAGGCGTCCAAGCTTGTTCCAAAAGTCAGGAAGGCCTTGAAACAAACACTTGCCCAACTGAGGGAGGTTTTCTTCGTTTTCCGCACGCCTGTCGTCCGAGATGGTGACCGGCCTGACGAGGATCAGTTCGGATTGCTTCATGATAGCCCTCTGCCCATCTGGTCAGCGTCCCCTGGCTTTGACCGTATCGCCCACGATCCGCGCCCTGGTGTCCTTGATGCTCTGAGAGAGAACGCAAGCTTCTACTGGTTCGGTCTCGACAGCACGCTCAACGACTGGAATCGCCTTCTCGATGTGCTCGGGGTGCCGTCGTTGGGGTCGAACCCGCCTCCCCGGACTCGGTATTCGTGCGGCTTGACATACTCGGTCGACAGCTCTCTGACGTGGGAGTCTTTTGTGAGGGAGGCAGTGCCAAAGCCGCAGAACTACGTGTTTGATGTCGAGACGGCGCAGAACTATCTCAGTTTGCAGCAGAAGAGAGCTGGGGGTGCGAGTGCTGCTGGGTGGATGCCGACGTTCGGGTTCTGGTTGTTCCGGTTGCCCGAGGGGATTGAGCATATCTCTCGGTTTCGCAACAGTTACCATGATGGTCAGGGCCGTCTGCTGCTGCGCCAGTCTATGCCGGACTTGACAAAGGTTTGGCCGGAGCTCCTGGTTTCGAATTTGTAGCGGTAAGCTGTGAGCTGAGGGAAGCCGAGCACGTCTTACATTATTGCTCGGTTTGTTCAATTTGCGAGGAGAACATCACAGTTGTAAACCAAATTTAGGCCTTGGTGTGTTAGTCATACGTGTTGATGGAATGACGTCTGATGTGACACCTGATAAGGTTAGGGCTAGGTTACGATTTCAAGTCTGATGGGTGTTTTGTTGAAGGTGGCGGTAAACTTTCGCCCGTTATGATCTTTTCCCGCAACGCTTCTCCAACTCCGTTATCGACTGTTGGACGCCCTCATCGAGCGCACCCTCGGCTGTCAAGCATTCATCATGGCCCGTCCTAAGTCAAGAGCCACGGGCTGCCAGGCTCTCATGACCTGGACTCGATTTTCCCTGCCGCCCAAGACAATTTTGGCCAACATGGCTTACAACCGACGGCGATGTAACAACCCCGAAGACAGAAAAAGACAGGTCTGAGCTTCCTGTGCGATATGGCGCTGCGAGCAAGTTCATCCTTTTTGTTATTCCGGCACCTACCTGTTGCCATATGTGGGCCTTGAACTTAGCCCGAGCAGGTATTCGAAACGCCTCCAGGTGCTGTGGTTTCGTCATCTGTGTGGTTTCCATGGTTGCGGCTGGCGGGCTACTCTAAACTTAATCCAAGCCAAAGGGAAAGCCAAAGAGCAACCATTGTGGTCTCTCCGGATTGGGGCTTGTATTTCACACTTTTTGTAGCTTCTCTTTTCCCTGTTAAAATTTCACCATTCGTCACTTTTCTCACCACTTTTTGCCTCACTTTGCGCGCCAGTGACCATTGCCGCTGTCCCACAGCCATTCATGTTGCAGAAAACCCGGACTACGCCGAGCATGTCAGTCAACACCGGAGAAATGCGCGCAGCAAACCATTTCAACCGCTTCTGTGACGCCACGATTGAGTTTCCACCTCGATCAGAGAGCCTGCCTCGAAGGAAGGATCGAATGGCAGCGGTGTCGAATAGATGCCCTGGAGGAAGAAAAGAGGCAAACGCCACGGATGTACGAATCCGGCACGGATAAGAGGTGGATGCACATCATCGTCGGCATGTATGTTACGGGATTCAAGACTCCCCATTCATTCCTCTGCGTGTCTTCATCTCAAGTGGAAAGAGCTAGCTGATATAAGGTACGTATCGCCACGTTCACTCCTGGAGAGCTCAGAGAGGCAAAACAAGAGAAGGATTACGACGAGCCAGAGATGGGTAGGTGGAAGGAGTTGAGAGGCCTGTGATTGGAACTGCTGGGACCGGGCGGCTGCGTACCTTAGTAGGTAAGGTATGGATAAGGCTCAGGTGATTTGCCGGCGGTTCACAAGCTCAGCTTCTTTCGGGAGTGATACCAATCCGTGCTGTTTGGGGCCTAGACGACATGCAGGATACCTGGTGTCCAGGGTGAAGCGGTTGCAATCCTGTTGGTGATGTGTTGGGTGCTAGTGGTGCAACTTTGTGCCTTGGCTCAGGTATTTTTGTGATACGTTGGCCGACAGAAACATGTCCCAGCGACCCACGATGTTTTGATTGATACCATCGAGGTTGAATTCGAGGGGATCAGTCCTCTTGATTTGCTTGGTCGACACGTCTCATCCGAGCACTCACAAAGCCATGAGGCCATTCAGAGATTCAATCACAACCCCCATGCCAAGGCAGTGTGTCGCACCAACATCGAACGCGCCTCACTCGATAGCGCCTTTCCCCGGCCTTGGCATCACCCCCTTGCCCGTCTCTTCAGGAATGGAGAGCAGCAAGGGTTCAATGCTAGCTTTCTTGGCTTTTAAACAAGACAAAATAACTCCCATTCTTACCCCATCTTTTCCTCTCTCCACTCTCACCTTCTCTCTTGTCTCTCAGCCTACCGGGCACCCTTCAAAAATGGCCACCCCGACAACCTACGCCCAGTTCACGCCCCCGGCATCATGCGGCATCGGCAAGGACCTCTACGCAGTAGAAAAGACCTGCTGGGCGTATGACACCCGCCCCTCACCCACCGTCACAGTCAGTCCCCCAAAAGTGCCCGAGTGCACCGCCGTCCAGCTGGGAGACCCCTACGACAGATACAACCCAGACTGCTACGCCGCCTGGTCCTTCCGCCCCGGCGGCGCCACCGGCGTGAGCTACGTCGGCTGCCCAGTCAGCTACACCGTCGCCACCTCCACAACCTGGCACCCGTTTTGGAGGACAGTCGACGGCACAAGAACCCAGGCGATCGACGTCGTGGAGAAAATTGTCCACTGCTGTCCTGAAGGTGACGTCAAGTTCACGTACTTTGACGAAGGGCGTAGAAGCAGCACGTTTGTGCACGAGGGGATCACCTGGAGGGCAGATGCGTATCTCATGCCGCGGTGCAGGGGGACCGTGAGGGGGGAGAGGAGGACGGTCACCTTGACCGAGTACACCGATACTCAGGGGTGGGAGAAGAAGAAGCGGGACGTGGGGTTGCGGACGGAGGTGTGGGAGGGGGATAAGGAGGTTTGGGCTGGGCAGGAGAGTTATTCTGCGACTTACTTTGCGGATGGGCACACTTGTTATGGGAATTGTACAAAGTATTGGCTGGAGAGCTATACCTCTCCGGTTTATGTGCCCACGACCAAGGTGGAGGAGAGTGAGGTGGTCACGACGACCACTCCGGATAGGGATGACGCTACTACTACTGCTGCTGGTGGCGGCACTGTCACTGTGACGATTCCTCCTACCACTGGGCCGGGGACTGGTGGGTTGTTAGCCACTCCTACACAATCTAATCAGGTACCCGTGCCTGCGGGCGGAGTGGTGGGTAGGGGCAGTGTGAGAGCTGGGCTGTTGGTGGGTTTGATGGGGGTTGTTGCTGGTCTTGTGATGTAGGAAACGGTATGAATAAAGGAGGTGCCTTCTAAGACCCTTCGTAATCATCGATCGGAGGCTGACGCCGCTACCCAACAACTTGAGATGGTATCAGAGCTCTTTGGTTTGTTATAATAAGGCATTATAAATTGTATTTCATGGTGCTTTATGGTCTGTGCTGCTGGTACACCGCAGGTAGCTCAACGGGGTCTGTGTTCTGTGCGCCATGGCGATGCCCCGGCAACTCCTGAGGGCCCCAGCCAGCGCTGTTGTAATGTGTCCATGTCGCCACTTTGTGGTCCGCTGATTTCTGATCGACATGTTCAGGGGTAGAATTGGTATGCGGCCTGGAACTTGGAATAGCGGATTTGTTGCGGTTTCGTCTCAGTAGCCAGACTATTGGCAATGCCTGACGCACATAGCAGTGCGATGGAGCCTATCACGCCGCCTACAATGGCGCCAGTGTTGTTTGGCTGGGTGTTCACGTCCCTTTTCGTGTTAGACTGGCTCGTCCTTTCATCTGAAGAGGTCGGAAACCCCGGATCGGAAGTCGACGAGTCAACCAGCGTAAGGAGGATAGCGGAGCTAGCCGACGTCGACGTGTCTTGAAGCAGTGTAGTCATAGACGTGGTCGAAATGGTAGTGGTTTCACCTCTTGTCGTGAACGCGAAATAGTTGTCGGTACTGGGACCCTTCCCGCATGCCAGATAGGTAAATGGACCAACGTTGTTGGGGAGAGCAAGCAGCGCTGTAGAGCAAAATGGCGCCGAGGCATCAGAGCTACATCAACGAAATCGTTAGCTCTGTGTAGGGCAAAAGCAGGGCAGGCAGAACAAACCAAGTAAATGTTGTCAGAGCAGCGTTGGTAAACCCGCATCCTCTCGAACAGCCATGCTTGTCAACACAGCTGCCTGCCAGGCCGCAGTCAGTGGCTGAGATGACAGAGGTCGGACAGAAACCCCAGAGGTCGTGGATCAAATCGACGCGACAATCGAAACCAGTGTTGGCTGTCCCAATGCTCGAGGGGTCGCCTGTTGAGAAAAGGGTGAAGTATTTGGTGACCAGAACGGTTCCCTGCCTTTTCTGCTGGATGAGGGTTGTTGCATTCGTGTGGTGTGAGAAGAACGACGCTTGGCTTAACCTGTTGAAAGCGTGAAAGCAAAGTATGGACAGAAGAGGGATGGCCATTGCAAAGGAGGCTGTAGATTTGACAAAGAAAACATGATGAGAAAGAAGGGGTAGGTGGGTAGGTAGAGTAGGTATTAGAGGCGGCGACGAAAGATTGGTGAAGATTTGTATAGGTACCCGAACGGCGATGTTCAACCAACGATGATCATCTACATCTGTCTGATGTTGGCGAAGGTCTCGAGCGTCTACTTGCATCTTGATCTCCTGGCACAAGGATAGGCCTGTGGTCGAGTCAACTGTTGGGTGTAACCCTTGACGTCTCAGCAAATCAGGGGACGTTCTGAATCCCGACAGAATGGTACCGGCGCTTAGCTGTGACATCCACCTCAACACAGGGAAAACCTTGCCATGTTTATATCTCGCTCGGAGTCAGTGCAAACGAGAAGCGGGGCATATGCACAAAGGCGCCTTTCCCCATTGTTTTTGAACAGTCAGTTGCGACCGCTTCCCCTTCTGCCCAAAAACATGCTTCGACATTCCACCCAAAGTTCGGACATGACGCGGCGAGCTATTGCTTTTGGCCCTCACTCTTTGGCTCGGCCGAGAGCAGATATCAAGCATACCGCGTCCGTCCTTCTGGCGCCCTTCAAAAGACGATTTCAACGCTTCCAATGGAGCCAGCATCGGCCTCAAGCTCCGCCACATCAGTTCGAACAGCGGCAGCAATAACCACTGCAACTCCACAAGCCTCTGACATTCTACCACAAGGATCAAAAGCGGCCTACGTCAACGCCATCATGAACCCGGAAGCTACAACCTTACCTCGACTGCATTGCCCCCAACCCGACACATCACGCTACGATTATCTCGTCGCACCGGAAAACGCAGAGACAGACTCAATCCGATACTTCATAGCACTCGATCTTCGACAATGTGTATCGCTTCTTCCCCGACTCTTGGGGAGCGTCATCGAGGCAATTCGATTTCTAGGTCCACAAACCTGCGCCTTGTCCATCATCGAGGGGAATTCGGACGACGGTACCGGGGAGGTCCTGGCTGCCTTACGGCCCGGGTTGGATGCTTTGACAACCACCTATTACTTCAAGACGAGCAACATCAACCCAAAAAAGGGGGACCGGATCCAAAAGCTTGCTCAACTGAGGAACATGGCTCTTCAGCCGCTGGTAGACGACACCGAGGCCGTCAAGTTCTCCGCCAAGAACACAACCATTGTCTTTTTGAACGATGTGGCAATCTGTTTGGAAGATATTCTTGAGCTCGTACATCAGAAGCGCACACTCGGTGCCGACATGACGTGCGCCATGGACTGGACTTATGTCGGCCCAGACCCAACCTTTTACGATGTTTGGATAGCGCGAGGGATGAACGGAGACTCCTTTTTTGACATTCCGCCAGATGGAAATTGGAACTCGGCCTGGAATCTCTTCTGGAACAACCCAAGCGCCCAGCAACGTTTGCTTTCGCACCAACCATTTCAGGTGTTTTCCTGCTGGAACGGAGCCGCGGCGTTTACAGCGACACCCATCATGGATCGAACCATTGCATTTCGAGCCCATAGGGAGGGCGAATGTCTTCAGGGTGAGCCACAGTTGCTCTGCAAAGACATGTGGTTCCACGGCTACGGAAAGATTGCTGTTGTTCCTGCCGTCAACCTCGAGTACTCGAACGAGGATGGCAAACGGATCAAAGAGGCAAAAGGCTATGTTTCCCGCTGGGCCAGCACGCCTGGACACCGGGACGAACCTATCGAGTGGCAACTTGAACCACCTGAGAAGGTCAAGTGCATACCAAAGTACGAGAACCAGTTCTTTGAAGCCTGGAACTCGACACAGTCTGGAACCTGATTTTCTTTCAACACGAGACCAGGACCTGATTCCTTGGTATGGGTTGTGGCTCGTTCCTGCAGGGGCCGTGTTTGCGGGTCTCTGACAGGCTCCGTGCAACACCAGCGAGTTCATGATTCGCCAACCAAAGGATTGGTAAATTATGCCCAGGCAGCAGCTAGCAGAGTGCCCACAGGATTTAATGCAAAGGTGCAATTTAAACATCAGGTCCTTTTGAACCCCTAGCTCCCGACGCCGCGGCTCCTCGATTCTCACCATCGAAATGGCAGAAATGGCTGAGACGACGACGACCGACCTGGCGACGGGGTCGGCACCAACGCCAACACCTACAGCAGCACCCGCGGCAGCATCTACAACAGCACCTGCACCAGTGCCGACACAAGCATCAGACCCAGCACAGTCAACGCCACATTTTACTCCAGGCCATTTCGTGCCTGCTCCGCTGAACGCGCCGCCACAATATGTGTCGCCGAGATCTTATCGGGTCACCAAGTTGGCTGGCAGGATATTTTCGATTATTTGCTGCATCGTCGCCATAGGTCTTTCGGCCGGCCTGATGGCTGATTCAAGAACTGATGGCGTTTATGGCTTTTACGGCATCATCATCATACCGTCGGTGAGCTGGATCTGCTGCCCATGTCGACAACATCGACACGTACTGACAGTTCACAGACCGTCGTCTGCATGGTTTGGGACGTTGCCGAAATCATCTGCATCATGAAGCGTGAGGGCAACAGGGGCATCCACCCCGGCGCCATTGTCGGTGTCGACCTGATCCTCTGGCTTGGCCTGGTCTTTTTGACTCTCTTGACTGTTACACTCTCGGCGACACATGCAGAACGGCACATTGAGGGGTATTACGAAACCTGGGACTCTGAAACTAGGAGGTGGACATCGTCTATCGACCTCGATTCGCCCGAAATGAGGGCTCTTGTGAGAAAAATCAGTGGTCTCTCACAGACATTATCTGCCTTTGTTGTCTTCTTGACGTAAGTTTATTCATCCTTGCCGTTGGTGTTTGAGGGATGCATCACTTCTGACAAGACACATGGAATGTAGTCTGACGCACCTTGGCCTTTTTATCATTGGGTGTATCGAGACGAATTATCGAAACAGGCGGCCGAGGATTGTCTATGTGATGGCACCACCTCCAGCGAATGCATACGCTCCTGCCGCTCCTCCGGGCGTGTTGCCCGCACCGTATGGAGCTCCGATGATGCGAACTCCTCCTCAGGTGATACCTATGATGCCAATCCAGCCTGTGCCCGTGCCCGTGCATGTGCCTGTCCGGGAGACAAAGCCGGTTGTTGCGCAGCAGGAGAGATATGCTTGAGAGGGGTTTATGTGGTGTTTACCGGGTGGATTAATCGTAATGTTTAGTAGTTTTGTGTTGGAATAAATCAGCTTAATGTCTGCAGTCCCGTGGTGGTCACTAAGGTAGCTATCTGCATTTGCGGTAGCTCCAATGGTTAGTACGTCAGGGGGCGTCTCCTTGAGCGCATGCATGTGACTGGTGAGCACGATTGGGAATACTCCCTCGCATTGCGTGGTTTTTTAATATCTCCACGGGAGACTCGCCATGTTGTATATCTGAACTTAAAGGGCGGTACCTAGTCTTGTTGATCTTGCCTTTCCGTACTTGGCTCACGGTGTCTGGTACTGATCAATGCTGACCCCTTGCGTTTATATGTACCCATCTATCTACCTGGTTCCTAATATTACACGAAAAGACTCTCGCGGAGATCATTCACCCAGCTATGCCCTGACAGCCCAGTGGCAGTGTCAGAGCCTACAGCTTGATCGGGAGAATGGTCCCCGAAAGAGCCCACGTTTCCGCCTACGGCTCCCCTTGGGCGCGATTCGTTTCGGAACTATGCTGACATCATCCATTCCCCCATGGGGAGACCACATGCCATGTTCCGAGGCAATGGTGCTTCCAGGGACCAATCCACATCACGGCACCAGAACACCGCATGTGGCCTCCCCACAGACGAATGTCAGAGTAACCAAGGGGACAACCGTGGCCTGCAAATGATGCAGCCTGTTCCGAAACGTCGCGTCGAGTGAGACCCAAAGAGAGCCATAGGCGAAAACGCGTGGTTGTCCCCTGTCCCGCCAAAACCTTACTGATCCATGTGTGCCCAAGTTCTGTCCTCGTGTGTTCTTTTTTTTTTATATATCAATTTTCTTCGTGTTGTTTCTTGAGATGCCGATGATAGTTGTCTTTTCTCGTGAACCTCTTTACACACCACTGACAGTGAAACTTCCTCTCGCCTCCATGCTTGACCGTCTGGAGATGCCGCTCGCAGTCCAATCTAAGACTGAAACGCTCATTGCAACCAGACACTGGACACGCGAAACGCCTTTCATGGTATCTCTTGTGTGGTTTCGCGGTGGAGGTACGCTTGAAGCAGCTGGGCTGTTTACGTTTCTCTTCCAGCGGTGCTGCTGATCGACAGTTGCTCTCATCCGAATCGGTCCTGGTGGACGAGGAGGCAGGGCTCAAGAGAGTGGGCGATGTTGGCGTTGATTGGCTGTCTGTGGTGTTGAGTATTTGGCTCACCATGACATCAAGCTCCGCGGCCAGAGATTCCGGAAGCTGAGGAAACTCTGCAAGCCCAGGCAATCCAACATTGAAGCCAGTGTAGTCGGTCGGTGAGAAAATACTCGCTTCGCCGTCGATATAACCACCGTTCCCGACTGCTCCCAATACACCCTCCACCACTCCATCTCCCATCCCCAAGGGCCAGAAACCAAACCCAACCCCACTCCACTCCTCACCCAAGCGACCTGGAAGGGAGAAATCTTCAACGAGAGGGCGCGAGCCAGACGATGCATGGAAATCCAAGGGTCCCGGAAACAAGGATTCACCAGCACCGCACCAACCGCACACCTCGCCTTGAAGAAACCCCGCATCGTGATCACTAATACATTGCTGCGAGATTTGTTGAGCGCGGGGACTCGGCGCGTCCCCGCCGGCGCGGGCTTAACTTTGTTGAGACCGACCTGTCTTCTCAGTCAGTATGCAGCATCCAGTGATGCAAGAGTTGTTTGTTAAAGACGCACCTTTGAATGACCGGCAAGTCAATCCTCGTGAGCCTCAACGGCTTGAAGTTGTGTCCAGGGGATGTCAAGGTTTGTTGTCTGACTCTTTGGCTGTTCGTTCGTTGGGGTGGACAAACAGCTGCCTTAAGTACCCCGGAGTCCCCTCATCGAAACGAAATCAGAATCGGGTGGGTGACATCGAATTATCTGGGAGGCATCCTGCATGTGCAGATATGGCTCTTAGGGAGCTTCTAATTGGCTTCCAGTATGCATGGTACCTTTCTTGCGGCCAAGTGTCTCCAATAGGCTTCGTGCTCCCCGCTGTCTTGTTGATAGGGGCGGCACACTCTGTGTCTGACTGGACAACAGGTATCAGATGAGTGATGCCTCTCATGTCGCGAAGGGAGGCATCATTTTGCTGGGCAGAACAGGCGTTGAACTTTAGGAGATTTCCCGCCCTAAATTTGAGATGTTTTGACGAAGAAAATAGATCCACTCCATTGGCCGAAAACAAGACCAAAAACAACCGGGCGGACAAAAAACAAAATGATGACGTCATATTTCCTCACCATCATTGATCTGCTGCCGGGAGGAAGGGCAGGTGGAACTCAATTGCTAGCAAGGCACTTACTTGCCTTTCATCATCGCCTCCATTGGCGCGTCATTCATTGTGTTTTAAAGCAGCTGACGATTTGGACCAATCTTCTACCTGACTTCTCTCCCCCCCCCCATCATCAACACAACAAAACATCAAACCATCACGATATCAACAACGACTTAAATCACAGCAGCTACACCTACCTACATCACAATACTTCATCAACAGCACACATCACCATGTCAGCCGCCAGATCTCTCACCACCCTCCCCGGTGTCCTCAGATCCCGCCTTCCTCAACGAACCATCCTCCCCGCCTGCCGCCAACAAGTCCGCCATGTCAACACCGACCGCGAAGAGCTAGGCGGAGTCGGGGGCTCAGAACCCCCAAGCCCAAAGAAGAACCCCGTCAATTGGTATGTAATTCGCTTTATTCACCGTCACTACTCTCTCTCTCTCTAACAACTTATCTACAGGAGAGCCGGAACCATCACTGGTGTCGGAGTAGGACTTGCCTGCGGGTTGATGCTCTGGTCCAAGAAGAAGGACGCCAAGATATAAATCCACCGCTACATGTGTCATCATCACTCAGACGCTCTGAGCTGAAGCCAAAAGTTGCATAATATCATGTCCATACAAGGAATTGGCCTGCGCCGCCTTGACGACCTCGTCAGAGATTGGTAGGCGCTTGCCTCGCTTCTCGAGAAGCAGGAGCATAATCTCATATCCGTTTCCTCCATTCCCTGCCGCCGCCTTGACCACGTTTTCAGATATTACTAGGTCTTCGTCTCGCGCGAAAAGAAAGCGCATGATATCATGACCATGCCGGGGGTTTCCCGCTGCTTTTGTCACCACCCCGTCTGAAATTTGTAGACTTTTTCGTTGCTGGAGGAGAACTTTCACGGTCTCGTATCCGCATCGAGTATTTCCCGCCGCGGTCTCGACCACGCGTTCAGAAATTGGGAGGTTGTCTCCGCGCTGTTCAAAGAAAAGACGGAGGATTTGATGTCCAGACCAATAGTTACCTGCGGCCGCCACAACCGCTTCTTCCGAGATGACAAGCCCCCGCCCCCGTTGTTCAAAGAGAAGACTCATGATTTGACATCCCTTGTCAGTGTTCCCCGCGGCGGCTACGACTACCTGTTCCGAAACCGGGAGGGATTCCCCTCGCTTTTGGAAAAGGAGCTGTAGGATTGGGTACCCCAATCGTGAATTTGCCGCCGCAGCCCGGACTATGGATTCTGTTATGGGGAGTTTGTCGCCGCGTTTTTGGAAGAGAATTTGCATTATTTGGACCGGTTCACCGGTTGGGCATGAGACGACGGATTGGAGGAGTTGTTCAGAGATGGGGACTTTGGGGCTGCATTGGGAGATGAGATGTTGCAGGGCTGGGGACATGTTGCCGTTGTAGTGGAGGGAGCGGACGAAACGGTCCTCTAGGAGGGCTGCTGTGTTGTGTAGTCTTTTTGTTTCGGTTGAGGGGTCTTCGTGGTAGGATGGTGTTATGGTGAGTAGTTCGGTGGATTGTTCTGCCTCGTCATAATAGCTGTTGTTTGAACTCCCTGGGGGGATTGTGAACGTGAGGGCGATATTGGAGAGGTGATCCTCTGATGGATTAGATTGTCGATCCGGTTCCCCGGGTGGTGTAGACGGTGCCGAGGTTTTGATGACGGTAAAGTGATCCTGGCAGAGTCGAACGATGCTCGGCCTTACCGCACCCTGCAGATGGCATACGATATCCCCCTCCCGGACCGACTCTGAAAAAGGCGGGAAAGCCCAATCCCATCCATGCTCGCCGTACCCTAGTGACTGCGCGGCCGTGGTGCAGTGGACCCATACGTGCACCTGGCCGTCTCCATGATTGTTATCCTGATCAACAGATGTGATTTGCCCCAAGAAGAGACACTTTCCCCTGATGACTGCCGTGTGGCTTTCCGGCCACGTCTTCACCGTGCATGACGCGCCAAAAATATGCGCAGTGGCCCTTTGGAAAACTTCATGCCACGGCAGGGAGTAATTTGGCTGTAAGGCAGGAGCATCGAGGCCGTCGAGACTTAGGCCGAGCAATGCGTATATCTTGTCGTGCTGGAGGGTGGCTCTGCAGGAGCGGTACATGTCCAGCAACTCGCCCATGGAAAAGACACCCCGTGAATCGGGCTGGTATTTTGGTCGGTATGGTGCGCCGCGGATGAGCTGGACGACGGGGTGGATGATGGAGTGTAGATCGACCGAGAGGAGATGATCCATCCCAGCAAGACCCTGACAGAAGGCGTGCCCGTCTATCTGGACTGATCCACACATTACAACCACCGACCGTGCAACACCTACTTCCTGGAGGATCTAGAGTCGTTCCCGGCAGGTCCGCAGGTTAGTGTTATGCAATCATTCGCAACCTTTTTCATCGCATGCTTACCCACATCCGGCGAAACCAATCCCTCCGCAACAACACCATCACAGACGTATAATCATCTTCCATTACAGTCAGTCCCTCCCCACCAGCCTGCCGGATATTCCCCAGCGCCTGATCACCATGACCATCCAACGGCAATCCCAACCAGACAATCACCCGTCCGGCCTGCGCGTAAATGGTGCGCATAAGCGGGATCTGCCTCTCCTTCTCCTTGTTATCATCCTGGTTGATACAGACGGCGTCAACCCACAGCACCCGCTCCAGCTGTTGGTCTCGGAGGTGCCAGAGGGCCGCGTGGAGATTTTCTGTCACGGGAAAGGCGCAGTTGTTGAGCGTGATGGAGTGGCATCTTGGGCCTGTTCCCCAGACGTATGAGACGGCTTCGTAGAGGTGTCTTTCCCCGCTTTGTTTTCCCGAGAGGTTGTAGGTGAACAGCTCGCATTTTATTTGGGTGGTGGTGGGTTCACGTTGTGGTAGCAGTCGGATCACGCGGGTTGTGTTGGGTGTCAGCGGGGTCGCGGAATAGACATCATGGGGCTGGAATTTGGGGTGTGGTTTCGCTCGACGGCGGATGCGGGCTTTCCATTCTGTAAAGTTGGGCATGTTGATGAGGTTTTGTCTGGAAATTGATGGCGGTGAGAAGTCTTGAATTGATGCCTAAGAGATATTTGGGGGCCCGATTGTCGGGTTAGGGTTATGTACGCTCAAAAGCTCCCTTTCCATGATTATCCACCAGAGCTAAGCTAACATAAGCCACCTAAGATACCACCGTTGTGCACCTCAGTAAGCCACTACCCCATCACTCAAACGCTTTCAGAAGGGTGTATTCCGGCCGATTGTTGGATTCAACGCCAGGGCCAAGCCTTATCTCGCCCGCGTATTCCAGCTGTGATATTACTTTAGATCACGGCAGGGTCAACAAGCCCGAGGCCAAGTTTTCTTACCGTGCAAAGATATTCCATTTCTCCTGGTGTCCCACGTGGTGCGGGCACGGCGGGGTGGTGAGGGCGGGATTGATCTGCTTTGAACAATGTTGACTTCATGGACTGCTGGATAGTTTCGGACCCTCCGATTCCCAGGTTGGCGAGGGCGGATTGGTGAAGGGACCTCGAATCTGCACCCTGCTTGGACTGTGGGAAGAAGTTGAGCAACAACTTTGACGGAACATTCCCGCCGTCGGCAGGCTCCCCAAATTGTACCGTGTCCACAGTCTCGTAAAACTCTGTCTTGAACTCGGCAACATCAAGGATGCTGCTGTGGTCACCGGGTAGGATCTTGCTGTGGAGCGGGATCTTCCAGAATTGGCAGTTGTCTTGGTGCAGCCAGTTCATGTCTGGCAAGTGATAGACAGCAAGAAATGGCATCGAGTTATTAGCTTCGGGCGATGTGAGGCGGTATCTTGCTGCGGAGCTCACATGTCCGGTTGCTAGGACATCAGGGATGTGGATGTTCTCGTACCATGTTTGAAAGACAATAGGAGGCAAAAGTGGAGATAAGGGGCGGGAGTGCACGACGATGATGCCTGGTTTGTGGGACATTTTTTTTTTTTCGTTATTTACCTTAGGTATGGTCAAAGAAAGCTTCCATGGAAAAAGATGGTTTCACTGGTGATGGAGATGACAAGCCTGGACTTTCCCCTCCGAATGTCCGGCGCTTGGGTGTGACAAGGCTGAGAAGCTTGAACTCTGTTATTCTATGGAGTGTGATACAAATGAAAAGAACCTGTCGACAAGACAATGGGTACCTCGTCTAGAATCCTTTGTGTGAATTTCCGGATGCATCGCGCAGCAAGGGGTGGTGGTCTTTGCACAAGGTGCTTCTTTGTACTGAGTGCTTGAGATATATACATCGAGAAAGTCTATCATAACAAATTTTGCTACTTGCTTGTGCAGACGAAAGTGACCCATCGCGGATAGTAAAGGATTTCAGGTGTATATCGAGGCTGCAGCCACAACACCACAAAATGGACCAAGAAGCTCAAGATAATTTCGGAGCACAACTATGGGCGCAGCAGCAGGCGCAACAGGCGCAACAGGCACAACAGGCACAACCGGCGCAACAGGCACAACAGGCACAGTATGCACTGCAGGTACAAATGGCACAGCAAAACCCGCCCATATTGTACCCAGGTGGTCGGCCACCCGTATGGATAACAAACGGCATCGGCAGGCCGATACCGGCAGGGCACATGTACCAGAGATATAGAGGTGGGCCAGTAAAGGAGGACACAAAACGGCTGTGTCGCTTTGGATTTCAGCAATTCCGAGAGACGGGTCATCGGGTCTCCTTGAACGAAATCGACCTTCCAGCCTATGCAAAGGACATGCCCCCAACCATTTCCTGGCCAGCCACGTACACGGGCCCGAAGCCTTCCACCCTTTACCCGAACATCCTCTGGCGTAAGCCTTTTGAAAAGATTTTTGGCGGTGCCTTCCAGCCGGGAAACACGGCGCCGGCGTTCCTCGAGAATGCGGAAGCGGTGACTGCTCGGCAGGTGATGAAAGATTACCTCCAAACCTACTACAACCTCACCTACGTATCCGTGCTCGGATGGGGCGGGAATGGGCTGGCGTGCCTGTTCCGGCATCACGATGGCGAGGGTCGTGAGAACGAGATCGTCGTCAAGACGTCCCTGAGAGGTAGGAACGAGAACATGATCAGGGAGACGAATTTCCAAGACAAGTTCAGGGACGCCACGCATATTGTCCAGCTGGAAGACTTGAACGAGTACCTCAAGCCAGGCACCATACCTCCTGTTCCGGGTTTGCCGCTGCCTGGGACACATCCCGTCCAGCAGGCGCCGCAGGTGATTCTGCTAGAATATCTTAGCCATGGCAGTCTGGCACAGGTGATATCCAGCTTGCAGCATAGGAAACTCACAGTCCCTAATAGGTTCCTGTGGGAAATGTGGAAATGCAGTAGGTTCGAGGCTTGCTTTCTACTCCGGTAATTTTGGTGTCGTGACAGCTAACGAGATGTGTCAAGTGCTGAGGGGATTGCTCGAGTTTGAGTACCCCCCCGATCTATACTCTTATGATGATGGTGGCCTTATAGACTGGGCCGACATGACTCTCCCGGGCGAAAACAATGTCCACTTTGACATTGATCCATCCAACTGTGAGCTGCTTCTCGAGGTTTTGTCGGAAACTAATGCGCGTGTGCTGACCGGTTTACTTTTAGATATGGTCGGTGACATTTTTGACGGCCATGAAGATGACAACCACCCCACCGTCCCTGTTCTCAAGATGTCGGACTTTGGTTGTTCGACAACCATGGATGACGAACAATTCGAGAACCCGTAAGCCAATCCTGGAACCCAAGGTACATGCTGCGTTGACTGCACAGATTAGCTTACTTTTTATCACAGGAAAGCAATGTGGAAGTACAGAATGTATGGGAAGTCCATGTTTTATATGCCAGAGCAGTTTTCCGAAGAATGGGACTACGTTCCCCAGCTGCCGGGTGAACTGGACACTCGGGTGGCCGCAGGCAAATTCACCTGGAAGTCAAACCTTTTCCAGGCTGCCCAGGTACGTCACTTCACACTGCCCGTTTCCCTGAATAACACCGATGACTAACCTCTTGCCAACTAATCAGTCGCTGGTGTGCATCATGTCGGGAGACTATCCCCAGACGCCGCCCCATCCAACAAAAGTGCCTTGGACGCCGAGCATGACCGGTGTTGACGAAGATGGCAACGACGAGCCGCTGGAAGAGCATTGGTCGTACGGGGCTTACATCTATGGCCTAGAACAACACATTGATGGCCACCTGAAATCAGTACTGGTACGTTGTCTGATGGAAAACCCGGATCACCGCCCAAACTGGAGGGAGTTGTTGGAGGACGCAGACACCGAGTGCGAGAGATACAGGACTGATGGAGATGAAATCGGCGACCACGACAGCCCCGACTGGCCTAGAGGCTGGGAAAAAGATGACTGGAAGGCTCAGGTCCCGTGGACAGATGTTCAACTGGAGTCCTGGATCAAGGAGGCAATTCTGGAGCCGCCCGTACTGACCCCAGACCCCGCCGATATGCCTTCACCGCCTGAACTTCCCGCAGTGTTGGAGAGGAGGAGGGCGATGAGGAGACAGCACCAGCGTCAAAGGCTCTTCATGCAATGGTTGAACACCCGACAAGCGAATTTACAAGCCCGCGTCAGAGCCATGGGCCAAGAAGAGTACACCAACTACTTCAACGTGTGGTGCAAGCGCCGCGACATGGAAGAGCACATCGAGAAGTGTTACAAGGCCGTGGTCAAGCTCAGGGCCTGGGAAGCCCAGTTCCAGATGCACAAGCTCCTCAGACCAGCAGACCAGCAGGGAAGGGCCTGGGCCGACTGGACGGCGCAGGCAAACGCCATCCACCAAGCCCACCCGTTCATCTCGTTAAAACCCGCCGACCGCGGCCCCTACGTCCGCAACATCCAAATAGCAATCGAAAACTTCCGCAAAATGGAATTCAACACGTTTGTCCGCGAGCAGCCCGAAAAGATCAACCGCTGGGTCCAAGGTCAAATCCAACGGCTATCCCAAAACGGGCAGTTTCTCAGCCCCGCCGAGATCACCAACATGACGCTTCAAGCCCGAGCGCAACCTATCTCTATCCCCTTCCCTCAGACCCCGATCAGGAAACGGATCCGTAAGCTACAGCTGCAGGTGTACGGACCACACTGGCACCACGGCCTCATGATCGGGCAGGTAGCTGGTCTCGATCCCTGCCCTGGAATGGTGCCCGTAGGCAACAACCACGACAACTTTGTCGGCCCGCCCAATCTCAGATCTCAGGACGACCCGTTCACGCCTTGGCAAAGCCAAGCGGAACTAGACAAGCTGGAAGCAATGCGCAAAAAAAACAATACAGTCCTCCCGCCAAAGCAGCAGATCCGAGCCGTGCAGGAAAACCCCCTCAACCAGCAGGAAATGGCGGATATAAACAACATCATCGCTGCGCAGCCACCTGATCCGGTGCAGCAAGCTGCCGATGCCAACGCGGCTGATATTGCGCAGAACTTCCGCGGTCATCCTCCTGGACGTGACCTCCCTGATCCTAATGCTCCTCCGCCGCCACAGGCGGCGGGAGCGAAGAGGAAGGCGGAGGATAATGGTGAGGAGGGAAGGAGGGCTAATCCTATACAGAACCAGGGACAGGGGGGGAACGCCCAGCTTCAGGAGGCGAGGGGTACGCTTACTAGGCGGGTTTTTGCTTTGCAACAGATGGGGCAGCAGGTTCAGCAGCAGGTTCAGCAGCAGAACCAGACGCAGGCTGGGCCGGCGGGGGGAGCGGCGTCGGCGTTGGCGAGGGCGCAGGGGGGGGATGCTGGTGTGAGGGGGGCGGCGGAGGGGGGTGATGTTCTAATGGGAGGGAAGTATTAAACATATCTCGTAATCTGTCCGGTACTACAACAATATTTACTAGAATTAATTCTGAATGATTCGGAATTAACAGGCGTCTAATAATATATTATACAGACAATTTCACATTCAGAAATTATCGTCAACTCCAGTCTTTATTGATTCTGCCTTAACTTGAATAATCTCAGCATGTGTATTTGTTATTACTGACTAGTAATTATCTACTAAAATACGCAAATTTTAAAGATAGGAGTCTTTACC